AAATTCAGTGTCAGAACTTTTTGATTTTAGGACTGTAGGTAACAAAATGTGGACCTGTCCAAACAATCAGAAAAGAGATGATGGTGGAGGCCATGCGGCAGGATGGTGACAGGAACCCTGGAGAGCAGGCTTGAGGGAAGGACCAGAGAGGCTGCTCAGAGCTAAGATCTCAGACCTGAATCTCAGTGGAATTAGTGTGTTATCGCAGCATACTAGAGGCCAGTACAGTGATACTGCTTTACATCCATGTGAATTCTCCAGCTCAGAGAGAGTTCAGTTGCCTTGAAGCGTCATTACTACAGTTTGAAGTATGATGAAAATGAGGCTTAGAGAGGTTAATCAGCTTACCCAAAGCCACACAGCTATGGAGCCATGGAAGTGGGGCCAGAGCTGTGGTTTTTCTTCTGCGTCTCACCTGGGACTGTTCTCTTTAGCACAGTAGCTTGTTTCACAGGAAACAACCAAAAGATCAGAAAGGCAGACTTCCTAAGGAGAAGTCGGGTGGCAACTATCAAATGCTTGCCACAAACGAAGGTCTATGTGACCCCACAGTCACACAGCAATCCCTCACAGTGGTCGCTATCTCTGTTTTGTAGCTAAGACAAGTATTTGAAGTAACCAACAATCTCTCCAAACAGAAATTCTGCAGGCCTGGAAGCCTGGGTCTTGGCTTGCTTACTGGGACAGCTCTGTAGTCTCGACTCAACTTGGGAAAATCAACTTAACCTGATACAGTAGTTTAACCCAACACAGACAGCAGCCATCAACCCTGAAATTTGTTTATGGAGTTTTTATATGTCAACAAAATATTCTTTGATTTTTTTTTTCAATCATTTAAAATTTGAAGATTCCCCTGAGTTCATAGGCCTTGTGTATGCGGACAGTTGGCTCTCTTGGCTCTGTGCTCTAGGTAGCTGCCAACCCTGACCTCAGCCCTGGTTGATTCTTTAGAAGACTTCCTTAGGCTCAGTGTCAGGTCATGCCAGCCCCACCAGCCTCCAGAGTCCTCCAGGACAGGAAGGGAGAATCATCACCTGCTAACTGCTGTGCTGCACCCCCTACGTGGTAATTACCTTCAGGAAAGCTTTCCCATCCCTGGCTGAATCGTGGCTTTGTCATTCAACTCACAGATTCTATTGAGCTTATCACACAGGCATTTTTCTCTGATGGAACTGATCCTCTTTCACTGGCCAGAGTTTGGGGATTATTATTACATTTTTCTTCCAGAGGATTTAAAGCAAAGTTATTGAGCCTTCCCCCACCCCATCCCTGTATCTTTCATTAAGAACCCATATAAATCCCACTGCTCTGACCTCACTGCTAATCTTCCTGACTGCCTAAGTTCTTTGAAGTCATTCATCCTACTAAGGACAGGGGTGAGTTGTATACTGTAGATATTTTAAGCTGTCTTTGGTCTCCTTACCCCACAAAGCATGAGGCCTGCTAAGGAATGCTGTAATTCCTGAGCTCTGGCTCCTGGAGGTTGAATGAGAGGACAGCAGTTTCTGCCGTCTCATATCTACGCTGTGTTGAGCGAAGACTGTCCCTTGATCACAATCTACTGCTTTCCATTTTCCTCTAAGCTGTTGGTTAGGATCTTAAAGCATTCATGAGCCCAGTTGGAGGGTGGCTTGTCTTCACTTCTGAGATAAAGGAAAAATGATCTTCAATCCCAGGAACCGGAATAAGAAGAAAAGAATGCCCCAAAAACATGGGTACTAGCAAGGTAACTGCTCCAAAGTTCGACTTTCTGAGTCAGCTGTTAACCTCAAGTCGGCACACTAGCCTTGACTTTCTGGTCCGCGTGCCTTGGCCTGGCTGCTTTCTGAGCCTCAGTTTCTTCAAACTGATGAATAAGGATAATAGCAACTAATGATTAGAATGGGTCTGAGAACCAATGGGTTTCACATGGAGCACTCCCGGAAGCAGAGGCTTCACCTCTTCCCTTTATTAAATGTTTTAAGAAACGACAACCCTTCGTCACCTGTTTTGAGTTTTCCACAGGCTGTGGAGGTAACTGTGCAAGATTAAAATCAGGGCTGTTGTTCACACCCTTTTTTTTTTTTTTTAATCTTGATGGCCACAAGCAACTGTCTAGAATCTCCATCCTCTAGCTCCTCTCGAGAAAGAGAGAGCTAATATTGAGCTAGAAGTTAGCTGAGCAAATGGCCGTAAGAGTATATGTGGCTGCTCACGTCTCGTGATACATCTGTGCGTTTCTCTTCATTGTCCACTGTGATGATTCTGCACTGGAAGCGACGTCGTCACCCCCACATAGTGCAGTGGAAAAGGTAGACTTGCTTGTCAGTTCAAATTTAATGTTTGGTGATTTGTGAACCTTATTAATTGGAAGTAGCACAGTGGTTACTTAAAACTCCAGAGGTTTTGTCCTTACTACTGATGTCTCCAACACTAGAGCTGTTGTTGATAAAATATGCACTTTCTGTAAATTAACTTTACAAGGCTCTGGGGCAGACCTTGACTCATTGGCTCCAGTTACCCTTCTTGGACCCTCTGGAGAGTGACTGGGTGTCTAACACTTACAGTATCCAAATGCTCAGAAATTATCAACTTTGCTTGTTTTTAGCATCAGGACCCTTCTGTGGCTTTCTGGGTTGATATTTTTGCAGGCCAAGGTGAGAAATGAACAGGTAAAAGGGACATGGACAAATACCTGAGAGACTGCTGGTCAAATATCAGGTCTCTCATTTAGTGCTTTGCTTTGCATTGGTTTGGTTTGGTTTGATTTGGGTTTGGCCCTCTTGCTCTTTTGAAACAAGACTCCCACTGTGCTCCAGGCTAGCCTGAAACTAGCTATGTAGGCAGGTTGACCTCAAACTCATGATTCTGCTAGCTCAATCTACTCAGTGCTGGGTTTCTAGGCACGAACCATTCTTCTCAGTTCAGTTCTTTACGAGATGTGTCCAGGGGCTCTACCTCTAACAATCAGGTCTTTCTATTATATAACAGGACTTATCTTTAACATGATGAGCATGCAAAATAAGAGAGAGGAATCACGCCTGAATGTGGAGGCTTAGCAAATTACTGGGGAGAGAAAAACAAAACAAAACAAATGAAACCAAATCAACCAAGCAACCAACTAATCAACAAAAAACCTGAATTTCCTCTAGCCTCTTAGCTTCAAAGCCTGGGGCCCTGAAAATGGAACTAGATTAATTGAAGCAGAATATTATTTCCGTATGCTTGTGTCAGTCTTCACAGAAATGAAACAGAAGATCCCAAAGAGACAAGTAGATCCAGAGGCTAATATGCCGCTTTAATAAGAGGTCAGTGAATGTATGGAGAGGTCATAAATTCTAAGAACAAGGCTTTTGAGCTTCTAGAGGTGATGCACTGTGGTAAGGGCATAGAGAGACAAACTGAAGACAAGACTTATTTTCGGGCTCATGTAGGCCCAGCTCGACGCCAATTTACCACCTTCTTCATGGCTATAAAATTCCCCCAGGAGAGGGCTTTATGACAGGCTTCATTTTTTAGAAATATATGCATTTGGTCAAATAAAGAAATCTCTGAAAAGGTTTCCTCCTGAATCAATCAGTTCTCACTACCTTTCAGATCAAAATAATCCATGGGCCAAAATGGCATGTCATATGGTAGCTAATCCTGCAGGACATGCCTATTGACATATCATTACTGACGTGCTTCATGCAACTGTCACTGAAAGAACAGTGTTTTACAGATAATTATAATAATAGACGTGGGGAATGAGTGGAATAATAACTCAGTTTTAGGGCAAAAATTTTTGATAGCTAATACAGACTTTGAGGACTGTAAGGTAATCACATGCAGAAAATTGTCTGTCTTGACTCTCTTGAGACCCTCCAAAGCAGGGTTGTCTCAAATGTTAAATGAGACATATTAAAAATAGTGTTCAGAGTTTATTTCAAACTCAAATGTAACTGCGCATCTTGTTTTTCACTTGTTAAATCTACTCACCTTCCTCCAAATACAGCTGGTTTGGCCAATGGGAACAAATGGAAACATAAACTAAAGGAAAATTACTTTTCCTCCATGACCAAAATCAGTAGAAATTGTTTTTTTTTAAGGGATAAAGCGGCCAGGTATGGTGGCATACCTTCTACACAAAGATCAGAAGAGCACAGTAATGCTTGCCATAGTGATCTCAGTCCCCAAGGAAAGAATCCTCACTTGACTTACCATAATGCCTTCCCACACCCACACCTCTTACTACTCAGCTGAAGAGAACTCTGGGCAGCCCTGGACTCACTGAGTAAAAATGTGCATCAGGAAGTTCTGTGTGAAGTCCTTGATAAATTTTGTCACCATTATGAGTCTCTTCTTTGCAACTTTATTTGTCATGCTACAGAGCAAATGTCCAGAGATGGCTCAAACACATCCTATAGCATTCACCTACACTCACATTAATAGCATCTTCCTCTTTACGCATATAGTGATGCTGTGCCTTTAGAAGATATTCAAGGAAACTGTGCGAATGCCCCCAGAATGTGTCTGAAACCTCCTCTCATATTCCCAGTTTTCCTGTAGTCACACAGAGTAGGTGAGCCATGCTGGCATGGGCTGCAAGTAAAATTAAAAGTGTCTCTTCCTACAAAGCCCTTCAGGGTTGGTGCTTAGACCTCCAGCTCGCCTCTTCCCACTGCTACATTAAGTCAACAGCTAAAGAGTCCACAGCTAACAGTTTGCTGGACAGAACTGCAAGATGGTAGAGGGTTCACTAATTAAGATCCCTCAGTAACTTTATGGGGCAGAGCTCCCTTTCCAACTGTTTATTGTCAAATATGGAGTATATACAAGAAATCAACTTTGTTGCAAAGTTAAGCCAAAGCAATTATGGGGTTTGTTATCGCAGCATGATAACCCATCCTGACGAGATTGTAAATCTAATGACTTCCCCTGTACTGCTCTCGAAGCATGCTCTGCATCCCTGTGCTTAACAATCAAGCTAGCTTCCTTGAACTGCTTGCTGTTTTGCTCCCAGGTGGTCAAAGCATCCCAACATGCTGAGCTTCCTGCTACACGGTCCTGCGGTGACACTGTGTTTGGGCTTCGCATGTGTCCTGTCCCTATGGAATGCAGGTGGGGCTGGTCAGTCCATAGTGTCTGCTCTATGTGTTATAGTTGGAAATTATTGTGCTTTGAGAATCTCAGCAGCTAATATTGCAACCTGGAATCTTTTTCTATTTTCTTTTGAGAACTTCATATATTAGTACACACGTGTTCACATCATTTTATTTCTACCCCTCCCCTGTTCCTTCCAATTCCTCCATCCCCCTGACTCAGATTTGTCACTTCCTGCATAATTATTATTGTTATAACAATAATGTGCATGTGTGTGTGTGCGTGTGTGCGTGTGTGTGTGTCCACCCTATATATCATACTGAGTCCATTTAGTGTTGCTCATATGTACATAGTTTAGGGCAGACCACTTGGGATTGGATAACTGTCCCTGGAGAAAATGTATTCTCCCTCCCTCAGCGACCATTGATTGCCTATAGCTCTTCCTCTAATTGGAGGAGGGTGCTTGTGCTGTTTCCCCCACTCCCTTGTCATGTCAACTGGTGTTGTCATTATGCAGGTCTTGTTTAGGCAACCATATGGTTGACACTTCATAAGTGCAACTTCCCTGTCATGTCTAGATAACACTATTTCATAGCTGGCATCTTGGTCCTCTGGCTCTTACAATCTTCCCTCCCCATCTTCCACAGTGTTCCTTGTATCTTATTATATGTATAGGGGTGTATTGTTGATGTACTAATTGTGGCTAGGCACCTCATGGTCACTTACTCTATGTGTTTTGACCAGTTGTGGATCACTGTAGTGGCCTCCATCTGCTGCAGAAAGAAGCTTCTTTGATGAGAGGTGATGAGAGGTGAAAACTATACTTACCTGTAGATATAGAGATAAGTGTTTACAACACAGTAAGAAATTATATTGATTTAGGAAAATGGTAGTAGTAGTTTCTCCTCTAGGTCTATGATCTCTCCAGTCATAGGTAGTTAGCTAGGTTTAGAATATCAGGCATGAATTCCCTCTTACTGAGCAGGCCTTAAGTCCAATTAGAGAGCTGCTGGTTGCCCCCAAGATAATAGTGCCACTACCATTGGGGTATCTTGCCAGGCCAGCCATTGCTGTAGTTTGTAGGCTTTGCAGCTAGGTAGGACTGTGATTGCTTTTCTCCCTTGGCAGCTTGCATAATACCTTCTGATATTATGAGATCACTCCCCCAGGGAGGAGGCTTCTATCAAAGTGGGGTTTAAATGATTTGATCAAAATGGCAGTCATAAGTCTCATTTCTGGTCACTTATTTTCCCCTTGGCCTTTCGTACTTGAGTGTCACAGAAGGTCTTATGCCCCCACAGTTACCACCCTTGTTCAAACCACCACCCTCTCTTTGCTGGGCCACTGAGGAGGTTTCTAAGCCAGCTCACCAATTCTCCTCTAATCTCCCCATGTTCCAGTCTCTACTTCTCAGCTTAAGTGATCTTTCTGTAAACATGATTATGTTACTTCCTTGTATTCCTCCACTATTCCAACCCTCACCCCCCAAAACTATTGAATGATGTTTTATGACTTACTGGGTGATACAAGTCCTTTACCTATACCCTGTGACCTCACCTTTATCAATTCTGCAAATGTCCACTTTTTGCTCCAGTAACTAGGCCCTCAGCTCTTTAGGGAGATGCTCAGAGCCAGTACAGGACTTGGGTACATGGTGTCCCCTGTACACAGAATACCCTTCAGCCACTTAGATCACACTCAGATGCTAGTCATCCTCAGATCTCAGTTCTCTGTGCCCTCATAGGGGAGACTTCCACTTTGCTAAAATGGGACCAGACTCCCCCTAACTCACATAGTCCCCTTCAAAGCAATCATTTTTTGCAGTAACACCTTTATACCCTTGAATTCTCTTCTTTCATGTCTGTCTCCCCTAGAATACATGATGCCTAACAAATTCTGGTGTTCAATAACATTATCAATCATTAGTATTAGTATAGTTCTTCAATAAATACTTGATGACTGAGGACTGAATAAATAAAATGCTTGTGGGATTATCAGAAAGCCATAACACAATTTTAGATCAAAGTTTTTCCATCTATAAAATAGGTAACATGGGGCTGGAGAGATGGCTCAGTGGTTAAGAGCACTGACTGCTCTTACAGAGGATCTGGGTTCGATTCCTTCCCAGCACCCACATAGCAGCTACAAACTGTCCTTAACTACAGTTCCAGGGGAATCCAAAGCCCTCTTCTGACCTCCATGGCATTGCACGACATGGATGCACTCATATACATGCAGGCAACACACTCATACACATAAAATAAATAATAAACATTAAAAAAATAGGTAAGAGACTGAATTCTCTCTGATGTCATGTCTGAGTTATAACTTCTCTGGTGACACTTGATTTTATTTTAGTGTCTGGTCTTAAAGAAGAAGCTAAGGAAGACAAGGGAATGGCCCTCAGACCTGCAACAGGTAAATGTTCAGGTGCTCCACCCCAGCTCACCCAACTCCAGGAGATTCCAGGAGCTCCCTGAATCTTACCTTCTCCGGATCTTATTAAATCCACATAGACTGTTATTCTGTCAGAAGCAGGAGATTCTATAATAGGAAGCATTGTTGTTTGCCACCCACAGCTTTGAAATAATTCATCTTTACCTTTCCTGTTTTGGATGGTATGAAATTCCCCATCCTGTGAAATGGTGAGTAACTTGCAAAACAAAGCAGGCAGAGCAGGCAGGAACTGCTCTTCGGGTCCTAGATTTTGAGAAAATAAGCAGGATACCTTTTTTCAATATGCTTTTTGGGGTCTTGGGGGATGGAAGTTACTCTTTATTTTCAAAATTTTATTTTTAATTAGAGCATTCATATGATTCAAGACACAAAAGGTACAAAAGGGTGTGTAAAGTTTAAGCACTTCCTCAGGAAAGCACTTCTTTCTTCAATGCTATCAGCTGTTCCAGTATATTGTGTATGAGTGGGATAATTTTCCATGACTATTTACTGTGTTTGAGTCTCTAACTCCCCCTGTTTAAGTGAGAACAATTCCAGGACAAAAAGAAATCAGAAAGGATAAGAGATGGTAAAATACTAAGCACCAAGAATGGGAAGCGTCAGGTTCCTGCTATTGCAGAAATCCTAGTGTGGCCCTTGATCCAAAACCAGAACAGTGGATTTATATAACTTTCCCAGCAATTTATTTGAAAACTGCTTCTGCAGGCTGTCCTGTTCAGAGATCTGTGCTTTGGCCAGAGATGATGACACACATCTATAATCCCAGCACTTTAGAGGCAAGAGCAGAAGAATAGCTGCAAGTTTGAGGAAAAGTTGGGGAGGGTGGGCTGGAGAGGTAGCTCAGTCAGCAAAGTTACCTTGAGGACCTAAGTTCAATCCCCGGAACTCATATTAAAAAAGAATACACGGTGTGGTGTACTAGTAACCCCAGCACTGGGGAGGCAGGGATAGGTGGATCCGTCGGCTCCCTGGCCAGCTAGTCTAGTGCTCTTGTGAGTTCCAGGTCAGTGAAAGGTTCTGGCTCAAAAACAAAATGAGGTGGACACCACCTGAGGAATGACAGTTTCTGGTCTCCATATGCACATGCACACACATGAACATACAGAAAGAGAGAGAGAGAGAGCGAGAGAGAGAGAGAGAGAGCGAGAGAGAGAGAGAGAGAGAGAGCGAGAGAGCGCCATGCTTTGGGGAGCATTTAATATCCTTCAAGTATTGTTTCCAAAATCCATAAAAGGATCATATTGTTAACAAAACCCACATAAAAATTTCTATTTTAAAAAGAAGTGTGGCAGATACAATTTTTTGTTAGTAAAATAATGCTGTCCAAGAATAATGAGACCTCAAGTCTGTCACTGTGGCTGAACAGGTGTAGGAGTCCTACAAGCCTGGCAGCCTGTCTATCCCTGCCGCCTGTCGATGACTGCAACCTGTCCTTTCCTGAATCCTGTCATGTCACTGCCAGCTGTCCATTCCTGAATCCTGTCATGTCACTGCCAGCTGTCCATTCCTGAAGCTGTCCATCTCTGCAGACTGTGTATTTTTGTAAACTGTCCCATCTCTATAAGCTGTTCATCTCTGCAGCCTAGAGACCCAGAGTCAAGATGATTCCTCACCAATTCCCCTCCTGCCCAAAGGTCTCTGGTGCCTAGTTAGACAGCAAATCGAACAGGTGGTGCCGCACACAACCTCACAGCAGCTACTGTGCGGGTGCAGTGAGAGTCAAGATGATTCCTCACCAATTCCCCTCCTGCCCAAAGGTCTCTGGTGTCTAGTCAGACAGCAAATCGAACAGGTGGTGCCGCACACAGCCTCACAGCAGCTACTGTGCAGGTGCAGTACCACTTCAAGCACCTAGGGGATGGGACAGACCTGCAGTCTCTAAGCAGGATAACAGATTGCTTTGCCCATTTATTGACTCGCTGTCTGTCTCCCATTTCCTTTTGTTGTAATGTAGCCCCCGCTGCTTTTGGCACCACTGTTTCTGGAGAAGGGCTTCACAATCCTCATTTGCTGCTGACCAATTTATTGACTCGCTGTCTGTCTCCCATTTCCTTTTGTTGTAATGTAGCCCCTGCTGCTTTTGGCACCACTGCTTCTGGAGAAGGGCTTCACAATCCTCATTTGCTGCTGACCACAGGATCTCTGATATTTAACTGCAAAACTTGATAATTTTTGAAAGGCCAAATTGGCTGAACCAGGCAACAACTGACTTCATCTATTTCAAGAGAATACTTGAAATGCAGATAAGGAGAAGCTAAATGCCCACTGGCTGTTGATTGGAAAGAAAAACAGTATATGCACACAGTGGAATATGATTCTGTTTTAAAGATTTACTTATTTATTTTTTTATTATTATTATTATCATCATCATCATTATTATTATTGGTCTTTTTGAGACACATCATCATCATCATTATTATTGGTCTTTTGAATCATCATCATCATCATCATCATCATTATTATTGGTCTTTTTGAACCGGGGTTTCCCTGTACCTCCAGCTGACCTGGAACTCACTATGTAGACCAGGCTGGCACTGAACTCACAGAGATCTGCCTGCCTCTGCCTCCCAAGTGTGCCACCACCCCACCACCGGCAACTTTTTAAAAAATTAGGCCAATTTACATTGCTGAGCTGTAGGTCCAATCCAGAATCCTTGTGCATGCCAGGCCTCTACATTGGGCCTTTGGAAGAATGAAGTTTAAAAATGCCATACACACTGAGAATGTACAGGTGGACATAAACAAAGTAAGCAAAGGGTAAAGCTTGGGTTGGTTTGAATTGAGGGTGGGGGGTGATGGAGTTTTCTGTACTGACCATCAGGTGGCACACCTTGCCATATGTAATAATATGGCAGGACCTGGAGGATATATACTAATAACAAGCCAGGCGCAGAACAACAAATACCATATGATCTCACTTATAGGAGGGGTCTAAAAAAGTCAAGCTTCTAGATATGAAGAGTAGAAAGTTGGTCACAGGGGATGAAGACCAGTCTATGCCTCAATGGGTATAATGATGAGGATGTTCCAGGCATCTACCTCATCTACCTCAGCACTGAGCTGGGTCTGATAGCAGAGGCCTATATTCCCGGCTATTTCAGAGACTGAGGTAGTAGGATTGCAAGTTCAAAGCCTGTCCAACCTACAGAATGAATTCAAGAATAATCTAGTTAGCTTACTGAGACCCTGTTTCAAAATAAAAGCAATGACAGGGCTGTGGATAAGTTCAGTGTAGAGCATTTACCTGGAATGTGAGAGGCCCTGGGTTCAATTCCCAAGTCCAGAAGCAAAAAAGAGCATATATTGTGTATAAAGGGGCATCTCAAGGAACATCATGGAAGAGGGGGCAGAAGGATTATGAGGGGGAGGGAAGTAAAATGCTGTCTTTGGACATGACATGACCCTGGCACTCGTGAACTCAAAACAGCTGCATTTGCCTGCATAGTGCCCACACAAGACTAAGCCAGTAACGTTCAGTCGTAGATGGGAGAGAGGCTTTTGGGGTCTCGCTCCACCCAGGGGAGCTGGCAGTTGAGGGCTTACGGACAAGAGGAAGCCACTCTCTTCAGTGATGTAGCCAGTGTAATAACCCTGGTTAAATCTAGGGGATCACAAAGCAAAAGCAAAATAAAAAGACATGATCGACTTAGTAGTGGTGGTGGTAGGAAGCAAGAAGAGGTAGAAGAGGGTAGAGGGGTAACTGTAACCCAAAGCTATTATAAACATATATGAACTTTTCAAGAATAAATTAATAAAATGGTCTTCTTGTCTTCTTGCCATAATGAAATGTGAAATGAGATGGAATCCAAGGAAAAATAACTTGGGCAAAGATCTGCTCTGCCCTTGGTTTAGGTTTATCTTGGCCTCCACCTACTTTGGGATTTAGGCCCATCACCTATGTTTTCCGGGTCTCCGTCTCTCCATCCTTCAAAGGACGTGCTGGACAAGATGATTTTTAAGGATATTATAGGCTGTGTGAAGCTGGGCTCTAGGATACAATTTCACCTGCAGATATTCCTGTTTCAGTGTCTGGAAACAAAGGCCTCAAGAAGGAGAAAGACGGGCTCCTACTTGATGCAGCAGGTAAGGAGGGCAGCTCTGACCCTGATTTGCTTGAGAGCACTGGCTATGTTTTAGGACTCTGTGCCTTGACTCTTCTGCCTCTCTGTCTGAATTTGCATGAAAAATAAACTGCAGCAGGTTTAGTGTGAGATGCATCCTCTAATTCAAGATGACCCGTCTCTGCCTTGAGGAGGTCTTTCCTTCCTTCTGGGCCAGGTTACTAGCCTGGTATGGGTTCTTACAGAACTTGTTATGGCTTCTGAGCCCTCTCCTTCCCAAGCCACTGACAAGAACCTCCACAGAGCCTGAAACCCACAGGCAAATGGCCTGATGCCTAGGGAGATCGATTGCACTGCAGTTTAGGAAGTTCCTGACCCGTCTCTGCCTTGAGGAGGTCTTTCCTTCCTTCTGGGCCAGGTTACTGCCCTGGTATGGGTTCTTACAGAACTTGTTATGGCTCCTGAGCCCTCTCCTTCCCAAGCCACTGACAAGAACCTCCACGGAGCCTGATGCCTAGGGAGATCGATTGCACTGCAGTTTAGGAAGCTCTGGGCCCTTCACCACATCTGCTCTGTTCTGCAGAGTGAGGCAAGCTGCTTCTCTTCTCTGAACCTGTTTCCTGACACAGTTAATGACTCAGATTAGACACTGCAGTTGCTTTATTTATGATTCTTTGGCTGACTAGGCCCCACCCAGCCAGGAGATTAGAACTGAAAGGCGAAGAGAGCAAATGCAGGCAGATCCCAGATCTGCCTGCCTCGGTGTCCCTCAGCAATCCTATTCTGTTGAACCAGAGGGTCACTCCAAGCCTTCTGCAACCCCCTGGGGCTGGGAATGGAAACTTGCATTGCCTCATGGAAACTCTCCTTCCCAGAGTCTGTCTTCAGAGGAGAAGAAAAGAAGGTAAAGGGAGTGAAAGTTCTTGCTACCACAGGTGAGTCTCCCATTTGACCCACCATGGCATGGTCTAGGCAGCTGAGTAAAATTCTCCCACTTTTGTAGAAGAATTCCCAGGCCCTTCAGTAAGGGTAACACCGTCTGAGTGTAGGTAAAAGTTGGAAAAGGCACTGCTTATGAAAAATAGAAAGGAGCATCATCCACTGTGCGTACCTGGTCCACATCCTCAAGTAGCAGTTGGAGGACGGGAAGGTTTTCAGCAGCAGCCTCTCTCCACACAAGTGCACTCACCAATCCCTAGAGGACTTTGTTGTGTCATTCTGATGTCTGGGTCATGTCCAACATCTATTAAATCTTCATCTCTGAGACTGGAGCCCAAACACTGGAATTATGGAATTAAAAAAAAAAAAAAAGTCTTTGCGGAGATGCCAGTGCCCTCCCAGACACCCATGTATGACCCATTGCACTGATTTCCAAATTCAGAGGGACTAAAAACATTCTCAGATGTTCCTACCCCCTGAGGGTGAGATGTGATCTGTCAATTCCTAGTGTCTCCAAACACAGAGATAAAACAGTCACTAAAACTCACTATGTGAGTCACAGTATGAGTCATCCTGAGCTCCTGGCAGGGACGGCTTCTTACCTCTGAGATTTTTGAGTCTGGCACTTGGTCTATGCTCAGCATGTGTCTGAAGAAGTTTTGCTTCAAGTTTGAAAATGAGGAATTGTTTCTGTCGGTGATAAAAAGCCCACAAGAGATGCTGTCTCTTGGCTCTTTCAGAACTCCCAGCAAGGTCAGTTGATCTGTCTGCACTCAACTTGACTGAGCTCGTGAATGGGATGCTGAGTAGAGCTTTAAAAGGTAACCACTCATATCAACACCATCCCTGTCTGATCTTCTCTTATACTGGCTTATCTTCGAGTCTGTGACCTGGGCAGGACACACCAGTCCTATATCTCAGGGCCCCTATGTTCAGAGTTGGGAATACATTGTCTGGCGTAATCCAGGATAACCATGAAAATGTTCACATGAAGGAGGAGTTCTGGGGCTGACAATATTATTCTAATCTAATTTTACTTTCTTATAGCTTTTAACAAAATAACTTACGGGTAGAATGTACTACTTAATGAGTAGAAATTCATGAATCTATTATAACAAGAATCAGAGGTTAGACGTCTAGAAGAACCTTTCAAATGGCAGCAGAGCATGAAGGACCCTTTTACTTCCTGTATCATTTATATTCTGCTTTATTCAGTAAATATTTATGAAGCATCTACCTCATGCCAGTGCCATGAGCCCCACTAGTCCACATTTTGTGAGTAAATTAGGGAACAGATCACATAAAAATCCTTGTCTCTAGGAGCAGAGAACAGAAAACAAACAGAAATCTTAAGCAGGAAAGAGTATCTGAACAATAAGTTCTGTGCAGAAGAAGGAGCTGGAGAATGCCAGTGCAGCTCTGTAAGCATGAGTGGCATTGCCTACGCCTAGGCAATGCGTAGAGTGAAAGGAACTTGAGGCTCTTGTTAAAACAGCTCAGAAATGAGCCTTCTGGAATTTCCCCCTTCTACCTTGGCATGGATGCTGAGGGAGGAAGAGTCTGTTTTCTCCAGGGACTAGCTCCCTGAGAAGTTATCTAGTCTCAAGTGGGCAGCCCTAAATACAGGTGCACGAGTACCACTAAATAGACTCTGCATTATATAAATTATATATAACGTATATATTCATAAATGTATGTATGTATATGTAACAAAAACACTTTAAAAGAGAGGTCCAGAAATTGTAAAGGAGTTGGGGTGGCATGGGAGGAATGGAGGTGACTGGGAGGGATGGAAATAATGCAAATACAATAATCGTTTATGAAATTCTCAAAAAATAGAAGACAAAATGTTTAAGTAGCTCAGAATCCTGGGCACCCAGACTTCCAGCCTCCAGACTATGAAATTTCCAACATCTGCTATTGTTAAGTCATTCAAGTATGTGAGAATTTGTCACGGAACTTGAGGAAACAAGTATACTTCAAACTCCCTTGGAGACCGCCAGTGTCTCCAGGTAGAGCAGATAGCTGAGCCACACCTATTGCTATGGTAGATTTGGTTTGGTTTCATTGTATTACTAGTTTTTCCTCGTTTCGTTTATTGGCATTTCTTTTTACCCTTATCTGTCTATTTAAAGGACTGTTTCTTTTCTCCTCGTTTTCTTTTTTCTTTACATTCTTGGGTTTTTCATCTGTTTTAGTGTTCAACATAATGAGCTTTGTTACAGCAGTTTCATAAAGTACATCATTGTATCTTGCTTTTTTGTTTGTATTTGTGACAAAGTCTCACTATGTAGCCCAGGCTGGCTGTGGGCACAGGATCTTCCTCCCTCAGCCTCCCAGTGCTGGGATAGCAGTCCTGCACCCCCCATGCCCAATTAGTGTTGCTTTCTTTAATGCTATGTGAGAAGACACTGGTTTGTTTCTTCATCTCTCTCTTCAGAAGACAGCAAGAAGTTCTTCTCTTTGCTGAGCATTACCTCTTACAGCTCCTTCGCTTTCCACAAGGTTTCTGTGGTCATCTACAACAGTGAGTGACAACCATTCCCATGGCAATGTGGTGGGCAGAGGGGAGCAGGGCCAGCCTCAGTATCAGTTGCTAAGGGAACCCTTTCTCTCCACAGTTTCCAACCCAAAGACAGTGGACTCAGTCAAATTCCCTACCAGGTACTGCTACTGTTTAAACAATAGGACCAATGACTTATCAGGTAGGTGGAGTCAGTTATGACCTTGTAGTTTTGTGATTTCTATCTATATTTTTCCTCTTAGTAAGATAAGAAAACACAGTGACATCTATTATACTTAAATATATGTACGTTCCTTGTCAGACAAAATTCTTTTCTTGGTTTTACTACAGAAAATAGTATTGACCATTAGGACAGTAGGTAGGGTACAGAAGTGTGTAGTGCTACTGAGATGTTCTTGTACAGAGGAGCAAGAAGATTTGAATCATACTCAAAAGGATTCCTCTGGCTACTCTCGTTAAAGAATATATCACATAGTATTTGGAAACATTTGAAATGACTGCAATCTGTAAATATAAGGTTAAGCTTGCTGTTCAAATTTTGATGGACATTATCTGAGAGTGTCCTAGGTAACTCACCTATCCATCTCTTCTGTCATCCACCTACTCAATAAAACCTACCTATCTAGTTAGCTGTCTTCCTCTGTATATTGGGACAGAATGTAGATGGTTCCTTGGATAAATAACCCTACAATGAACATCTTCGTAGTTAAATCTTTTTCTGTCTTAGATGATGTTCTGCAGACAAACTGCCCAAAGTGGAATTTCTAAAATAAACACTGAAAGAGAACTATTAACAGTTCCATAATATTAGTACAATGTACTATGATGTTATTATACTCACTGTGAATCTTGTCAGCAAAATACATTTGGCAAGGAAGAAAATTCTCCCGATTTGCATCTTCCTCACAATCCCTTCAGCCTGTGCAGATGGCTACATCTTGTGCTAAATGAATCCTTTCCCAGATTGGTGAAAGATAGAAATAAGGGTCAGAAATCTCACTTGCCCAGAGAGAGCTTATAGTTCTACTTCATGAGCCAAAGAGTGTTTACTTGGATTTGAAACAATCATTTGGAAAGAATGGGTCCACAGGTCACTGTGCATCAGTGAAATGGTTCAGTTCTCCTCCCACAAGTCATGCCAGTTTTGACCAGAACAGAGTGTTCCCCTCATATTGCTATATGAGAGGCTTACACTTGGGCTTGCGTTGCTCAAAAACTCTGGGGATGATGTCTTTGGAAGTAATTTTTCCATACCTATTCACAATAAACCCGTATTGTGGAAAACATTCCCACTTTTCTCTCACACATTCTGTCACCCAGAATTTACTGCCACACTCACCTGCAAAGCTAGATAAAAAGACAGTCATTATGTTGAACCACCATGTGCCTGACTAGAATTTATATTCTTTTAGGAGAGGAATTTGAGAAAATATGTCTTTAAACACATCTAGGTCATTTTCATCTGACTATTTTCCACTCTAACATATAGCCCTCCTTTTAAAGTTCATTTACATATTTTCTCCTTTTCCTCCTTAACTGAAATGGTTTACATTTTCTCAACTTAAAAAACAATGTATTTTAATGTCAAAATTCCATGAAATTTGTCAAATATAAGCAAAGAACTACAATGTTCTGATCTCCAAATATCCATAGGTCACTATTCACTTTTTGATGAACATTTTCCAGTGGTGTTCCATGCAGCCTACCTATTCAGTCTACCTGTCATCTAACCTATTTACCTCACCTACCTGTCTACCCATCTATCTAACCATCCTACTCTACATATAAGAACCCATTCTCTATATTATTTAACACGTTGGCTGGGATACTCTGACAAGTATCTCTAAAATAGGGTGACTTGAAGAAACAGAGGTTAACTACTGTATGTATGAGAATGTGAGCAGAAAACTGGCGGCTGATCTGACAATATAAAGGTTTGGGGAGCCAGGTTCCTTTTAGCCTGTTGCTCTGCTTTCTATAAAGCATTGTGCTTGATCTCAGGATGCAAGGTGTTTTACTTCTACCCTCTAGCCACAACAAAAGGGAGAAAAGAATCGGAAGACACACTCATTTGGTATATATTTACAGATTACAAACCATTTCAATTTCTTGTACATTCTATTGCACAGAACTGAGTGACAGGACCGCACCCACCTGCCAAGCAAAATGTAATTGTATTGAACAACCCTGACCTAACTAAAATTTGATGTTCCCTTACTAAAATAATTTTGGAACATGTGCCTTGAAAACATTATCCTGTATGAAATTCTAAAACAAAAAATTCTATCCCAATGCATATAAATATGCCTAATCCTTCAAATGAATGCATGATATTCACCAAAAGACAATATGATGGTTTATTTACTTGTTTCCTATTCTTGCAAGCTTTAGTACTGTAAACGGTGCAGTAATGAACACCTGTGTAAAATCACTGGGAGTATTTGCCCAATTATCTCTGTAGGATAAAGTCTTGAAATGGAATTGTTGGCTGACAAGGAAACAATCTTGTGGTGATTCAAACTGCTAAAATTTCTTCTAGAAATTTTGTGTATGCTCACACTCCTGCCAACAATGCTTGATTGCATGTTCTTCACACTGAGTATTAAGAGACAGTGTTAAGTCACCACCAATTGCATGGAAAAACAAAAGATTGTCCTGACCCTCCACTTACATATAAAAGTAGTCAGGCATAATTCATCTCCAAGCATTGATAGTAAATTAGTTAATGATATGTCTGTGGAAACAAAGAATATCCTAGAAGCAGTGACAGTTGGCGTTCTTCCAGGCCCAATGAACAGGTTGTAGACATATTTTCAAAGGAAGAGTTGACAGAATGTGCTGAGTAACAAGTTGCATGGATGGTAATTGGTGTTGTGGGAAGGAAGGGAGTTTGGGGCCAAAAATGCATCAGCTCAAATGTAAGCTTTGCCACATACTATTTGACCCCAGGAAAGTACCATCACTTCGGTAAGCCTTGGGCAAAACTAGAACCTGTCCCTGATGTCTGGCTCTAGAACTTTGCTTATGGCTTCTGTGCAATGTTACTAGTAGATTCCAACCTTATAGTTTACCACTCAGTTCATGGGTCACTCTTTCCCATTACTTTAAAGTCTTTTTTATTTTAATTTTTATGTTTTTATTGGTTTTGTATATTTCATAGAGAGCATCTCAATCAATCTTAATCATCTTTATATCCCGTTCCCCACCGGCACCCTCCAATACCCCCCCACTGGAATTCATACATTCTGTCATTTGTGTTAAGGCCAATTGAGTCAAGTTAGTGACCCCAGGTATTCTTCAATGCAAGTTCATCTACTGAAGTCTAGTCAGCCTATCTAGAGTCCCTCACATTAGGAAGATCAGCGCTTCCTTACCCAGCAATAATCATTTGCCAATATTTCTTCAGCTAAAATTGGGGTCTGCTGTCCATTTCCACAGTTCTATGGTAGGTTTTTGTCTGCTTGAGCTTGCATGGGTCTTGTGCATGTTGACACCATTACTGTAGGTTCAAATGACCAGAGTCCCAGGAGCTTGTAGGACTCTATTTCCATATGGTCATGTACCTCCTCCCTGGTTCTTACAATCTTTCTGCCCCCTCTTCAGCAATGGTCCCTGAGCCCTGGGTGAGTGGAGTTTAATATAGGTGTCCTGTCCAAGGAGCAGCATTCTGCAGACTATTAAGCTCTATGCTTTGGTCATTTATGACCTTTTGTGTTTCTGGTCCTCTGTTACATGAAAGAGCTTCATTAATGAGAGCTGAGATATTCAATAGTGTCCTCTTTATCCCTTGTTCTATGTTCAGTGAGCCTGAGGTGTAGGGGTTGCTTTATAGATGCTTTGGTCATTTCTGACTTTATGTTTCCAGTCCTCTGTTGCATGAGGGAGCTTCATTACTGAGAATTGATATATTCATTAGGATAACTTGGTCTAACTTTTGATGTTTCCATGGTTATACCATCATTTGGTGTCTTTCTGTTGCTCCTTGGGCATAGCTGTTCCTTTCTTCAGCTCTTTGTATTCAAGAATTCTCTGAAGTGCTGGTTTTGTGGACATGATTCTTTCGGCCTATTCATGTAATGAAAGATTTTTATTTCTCCAACTATAATATTTTTGCTGGGTAAAGTATTCTGTGTTGGCATCTATGATCATTTAGAACTGGGAATACTTTGGTTCAGGCTCTTCTGACTTTCTTAGTTTGCACTGAAAACTCAGTTGTAATTCTGATGGGTTTTCCTTTATATATATAACTTGTTTTTCTTTTGCAGCTTTCAGTATTCTCTCTTTGTTCTGTAAATTTAGTGTTTTTAATATGATATGCCATGGGGAGTTTCTTTTCTGGTCCTCTCTGTTTGGTGTTCAATGTGCTTCTTGTATTTGTATGGGCATGTCTTTCTTTAATTTTGGGACATTTTCTTCTACAATCCTGTTGAAGATCTGGTCAATACCATTATCCTGAGATTCTTCTTCTTCTATGCCTATGATGCATAAATTTGGTCTTTTCATGGTATCCCACATGTCCTGGATATTACATTCTTGTGTTTTTACAATTTTTTTCATAATCTTTGCTTGAGTGGTCCAATTCTTCAACTTTATCATCCAGTCTTGATATTCTGTTTTCCATTTTGTTCATTCAATAGAATCATCAGGCTTTCTCCTGTCATTTCTAATTGGCTTATTGAGTGTTTCACTTCCTTCTTCATTTCAACCTGAGTTTTCTTGACTATTTCTATCCTTTTGTGAATTCAGGCAGAGGTTTATCCCTGTCTTCTTTTAGGTCTTTGATTTGTGTTTATATGTGTGTGTGTATGTGTGTGTGTGTGTGTGTTCTTTAAATTTATTGAATTCTTTGATCATGTTTGTGATTGTTCCTTTAAATTCTGTGTCCTGGGTTATCTCTAGAGGGTTTTCGTTGTAGAACTCTTCTATAGGACTGTCGATTTTTGGTGAGGATATATTACTTAGGCTTTTCATATTATTATTTTTTTCGTTGTGATTTTGGCATGTGGATTTCTTTTGTTGTTTGTGATTCTGGTGTGAGACTCAAGCCTTCTTTTGTTGAGTTGAAGTCCATTTCTATTTGTATGCTCGATGGGCCTTGATTGTTTTCTTATTGCATATGAAAAGCTGGTTGGTCTAGGCTTCAGGTTCTCTCCAATTTTATAGGAACAGATGCCTCTAGTCCAAGTACTCAGGAGTTCCGGCAAAGTCCCAAGTCAGGGAAGAATCAGATGCTTTCAGTCTTCCTCCTAAGGTCTGGGCTCCTTTAGCCAGCAAGCACAGCACAATTTGGGAAGTTTGCTAGTCAGAGGCTGGATTCAGGAGATCTCAAGCAGTCTGCAAGGTCTGGGCTCCTACTATAGGGCAAAGAATCCTAGCCTTCCAGCAGCTGGAGGAGCTGCAGATGCTACTAATGTAAGGGGCAGGGCACAGTGTGATTTGGAGAACTCACTGCCACACAGGGCTAAGAGGGAAGTCCAGAGATCTGGGGTGCTAAGAGCAAAAGCAGGCCTGTGCCCAAGGCTAGAAGGAGAACAGGATGTGGGGTCAAGGAGATTGGAGTTTCTCAGGCTGTAGGGGAGTCAAGGCATAGTGGGCAGGATCAAATTTACCAGGGAAGAAGGTTGGTTTTAGGAATCCAAGGCAACTTGGAGGTGGGAACAGCCAGGGTAGAAGACTGATCTCAGGTCTGCAAAGGCAAGTTGGGGGTGTGGGGAACAGGCTGTGAAAGCTCTAAGAAACTAGACTGAAAATTTGAGCTGGCCTGAGTGCAGGGAACCAGGCCACAGTGGACAGATCTGGGCTAAGAGGGTAGTCTAGAGATCTGGGGTGCTAAGAGCAAAAGTGGGCCTGTACACAAGGCTAGAAGGAGAACGGGATGTGGGGTCCTAATTTTTATTTTATGTGTATGAGTATATTGCCTGCATGTATTTGTGTGCACCGGTGTCGTGTAATACCCATGAAGGTCAGAAGAGGAAGTCAGATCCCCAGGAACTGGAGTTACAGATGGTTGTTAGCTGACATGTGGGTGCTGGGAACTGAACCTGGGTCCTCTGCCAGAGCACCAGTGCTCTTAACCACTGAGCCATCTCTCCAGCATAAAGTCATTTTTTAAAACTTACATTTATTGGGGCTGAAGATTTGGCTCAGCAGTTAAGAGCACTGAGTGCTCTGGTAGAGGACCCAGGTTCGATTCCCAGCACCCACATGGTGGCTATGAACCGTCCTTAACTCCAGTTCCAGGGAAATACGAAGCCCTCTTCTGACCTCCGTGGCATTGTATGACATGGGTGCGCTCACATACATGCAGGCAGTACATTCATACACATAAAGTAAAAATAATAAATAAAATATTAAAAAAACAAAAAACAAATTTATTGGACCCAGGTTCGATTCCCAGCACCCACATGGTGGCTATGAACCGTCCTTAACTCCAGTTCCAGGGAAATACGAAGCCCTCTTCTGACCTCCGTGGCATTGTATGACATGGGTGCGCTCACATACATGCAGGCAGTACATTCATACACATAAAGTAAAAATAATAAATAAAATATTAAAAAAACAAAAAACAAATTTATTTATTATTATTTATTATTTATTTATTTATTTATTTATTATGTGTATTAGAGAGCGGGCCAGAGACAGAGACAGAGAAACATGCATGCCATTACAGGCATGCTACAGCATACATGTGGAAGACAGAGGACAACTTACAGGAGTAGGTTCTCTCGTTCTACCATGTGGGTCCTGAGGAGTCAGGTCAGCAGGCTTGACAGCAAGCACCTTTACTCACTGAGCCATCTCAGTGGCACATTAATTTCTGTATGTATTACAAAACTCTCTATTAATCTAGCAGATGTCTGGCACACCGCTGGCACTCAGTGAACATTTGTTGAGTAAATGAATTAACAAAGGATGTTTTTGAGAGGTAGAAGGAAAATTCATAGACAAAGTAATGAGATACTACAATTCATCCATTTCTATAACATTGCCTAGAAATGAAGATGCCCACAGGTGCTAACCTCCTGCACAGAGAGTGTCAACACCTGCAAGTTGTATTACTCCTTCTTCATCCAGGTTAACCACATGACCACACAGACATGTAAAATGGCATTGCGACTCAGGTTCATGCACAGCAATGCCCACCTCCCACCAGTCTTGATCTGCTGCACCAACTATTGAATATTGATTATTGTGATACATTTTTCTGCATCTTTGGGTTCTGTGTTTTCAAGCCAGCCCATTCTTGCAAATAACTCACAATCCTATTAATGAGTAAAAGAAGGATTTATAAAAGCATGATGGGCAATCATGGTGGGTGCAAGAAGCCTCCTTTTTAGAAAAATCACTGTTTAAAGCTTCTACGACAGCATGCCTCATGTGAGAGAAGCCAAGAACTTCTGGATCCTGGAAAGCCATAATTGAACAGAGAAGGTTCCAGGCTCTTCTCTAGAATCGGATCAGGAACTTTTCCGGTTAGTGGTGCTTGTGTGTCAGCCTTGCTCAGAACGTGCTCAATGGCTCTGCAACTTGAGATGCATGGAATTTCCCTAGTCTCCCCTCATCCACTCTATAAATAAAGTAAGACGAAAGGAAATATTCCTAGGGATATTTTGTAAATATTTTGCCTACTTAACGGTCTGAAGTTCATAACCTACCCTTAAACCTGATAGTGCATATTCAAATTCCAAGTTTATATAAATTGACCTCCTATCTGTGAGTCTGCTGCCTCTTAAATAGATCTGATAGTCTAACAAAGTTAGATGAAGTAATGGGACGTATAAATGTTCAATAGTGTGGTCTTGGGTATTAGAGAAGGGGACATATTGTAGCAGTGGATCCTGACATTTTCTGATTGCTTGACACTGATTGTTAGTTGTTTTTAAATTAGTCGTTTTTCTGTATGAGTTCATGCCTTTAAGACAGTAATCTAAATCACACTTATAAAATCTATTCTGAAAACAATTCAGATGGAATATGCTTTCCCATTAAGTCTCTGAAGTAGAATTCAGAGTGTCTCTAATGTGTCTTGTAGATTTCACGGCTTTGCTGGTGGACATTGTTGGGAATTCTACCAGCTACCTCACTGAGATTTTTAAGTCAACCTCCATCCTCTCAGGTATGTATCTGCCAATGCCTGGCAAGCTTGAGATCAGGTGTTCTCCATGGAATGCAGCCAATTCTCGTAAGTTTCCCATCCCTTCCTGCCATAGGTCAGGCTGTCAGGAACCTTCAGGGGCACTCCATTTAAGTTATGGACGTGGTCTAGTTTCTAACATCAGTCTGTGAAGGTGCCATCTTCTAAACAGAGCTATTCCTGGAGTCCATAAACTTGAAGGACAACTACAATAATCAACATTGGGAGGATAACCACAGATTCTGGTGGTGGCTGTATCTACCCCCTCCCTTTTGAAGTCTAAAAGACAGATTCAAGGAAGGTGTATATCTTTCACATATTGTAAAACTTCAAGCATTTTGCTGAGTGAATGTTGACTGGTGGTGAGTGGGATTTCCACAGGCATCGCTGTATGCTGCTGGAGGTGTTCTATCAGTGTGGTACAGACACCCCCTGAGGCCTACAGAACTTGAAAACCTTCTGAACTCCCGAATACACTTGTCCCTGGGGATACTGTGTTGAAGGACTGTAGACGTATGGTTGCATCTTTCTCACAGGATGGTGATGAGGGTCCAGTGAGACGTTTTGTATGATGTGCTGAGTAGAGGACACGGCAGCCTGACAGCTGACCACAGAAGCTGTGCCCTCAGCCTTTACCTTATTCTATACCATCTCCCTCCTCCTTCACCCTCACCAAACAAAAGAAAGGACCCACAAAGTGAGAGCTGCCTTGAGAGTAAGGAATTTGCCTTATTTTCCTGCATCGTCCTGAGATAGGTACGTCCTGCTTAGTTTTCATTTCAACAAAATACAGCTGACTGGTCTTGGTGTGTGCTGGTTTCTCTTACAGTGAGTCAGACCAATGAATCTGACTGCGTCTTCATCTGTGTGATGGCGGGGAAGTCAGGTGAGCATCAGCGTCCTCAAAGCTCTCTGGGCTGAGCACTGAGTGCCATGCTTCAGCAGACAAACTCAAGATTCCATCTTGTTGGTATGATTGTTACAGGGAGGAATCTTTCTGACTTCTGGGAGGTAGTGGAGAAATCCCCTGTTATCAATTACACATTTACCAGAGGCGTGTCAAGTACTTTGGGTGAGTGGAAATCTACCAGTCTCCTAAGTAGAGGCCAGAGCCATCTCCTTCCCACCAGCCTGATAGAGACTGATGCTGCTTTCACGTAGCTGCTTTAGCTAAATGGTGTGAAAGTCAGGTGGTTTTTCTTTTTTATTTAAACATACTAATTTCTGGAGTCTTTTGAAAAAAGATTTGAGTACCCTGGGTCCTTCTTACCATGATAACAAGCAACTAGAGCTGACTAGCTGCTGTTCCCATTCTCCCCTTAGGAGAGACACCTTTCTCCTCTTTCCCACGGTCCTCTCTGCCCTCTATTGCTTTGCACATTGTTTCTGGTATTAACAGCTGGGCTTTTGTAGCAATTTGGAATTTTGGCCTTTATTCTAGAGTCATTGTCACTGTGTAATGCCCAGGCCCTTCCCAATCACCCTCTATCAACAACACCCGTGCACCTGCTGATCTTCATGTCTTCTGCGTGACAAGGTGGCATTTCTGGAACATCGTTAATTCCTCCTTCTCCTCTGCACTTAGCTGACATTTCTATAGCCCTTGGGATGTGGCTCATCCTCTGAAACCACCTGCTGCATATGTCTGCTTCAAGTCCTGTCATTTACTGGAACAACCTGTGACCAAGTACCCCTTGTTACTCTCTCATATTCCTTTAGAGTATCATCTATTGCCCCATAGCAATGGTCTTCAGGTATGATTTGGGTTATGTCCCTTAACTGCCAGAACTCAACAGTCAGCAGCAGAGACTCCAAAGTTCTCAGACTGAAGAACATATTTTTCAGTCTTCACACCATTCTCATATCTCTTTCCTTTGCCCATGAGTCCTTTGCCACCTCAACATTGAAATCACTGCCATTGTTGGGGATGGAAAGCATCCCCATGCCCTTCCACACAAGCTTCCTCATGCTGTCATCTGTGTGTGCAAATCTTGCCTTATTTTTCTGTGCTTCACAGCCCTGATGGTCTGTTACTTGCCCTCCAGATGATGTTTCCTCATTTCCTAAAGATCTCCCAACCAAAATCCATCTTTTGTGGTTCTCCCTCACAGTATCCTCTGTCATCTAGACTCTGTGTTGCTCTAGGTTATATCACTGTAGCATTTATATGGCTATGTTATCAGGGGTACTTGAAGGCAAATCATCTCCTTGTGTTCCAGTCTACCTTATCCTTCAGTATCTCACATAGCACCTGCACATAGTAGGCTTTTCATCAGTGTCCCTGTAGTGAGTGATGAACATAGTCAGTGACTCTCCAATTCCATTGCAGTGGGCTACTTTGATTTGTGCTTCATGGAGAGTATCTCTTGGTCGTGCTGCAGAAGGAAGCTCATTTTGTAAGACACGACTGCTTGCTAAGGAAATGAACTAGGCATGTAGCAGGTGGTACCTTTACCTGCCCACTATTGAGAATAGAGCTGAGAGTTGAGCCAGTTGCGCCTTTTCGCCACCAATTTCAATTATGTCTTCCCTCAGTGCTCCTTCAATAAGGGAAATGCTTAGGAAGAGAGAACATATTTACAACTTGGCACTACTGTTGCCCGATAGCCACTCACCTGGCCAGGTGACAGTTGGGCCGGAAATACATAACCCATGTATAACTTGCCTGGAATCAAGGCTCAGATGATGGTGTGAGGTGTTGGAGGTCTAGATGTGAAGCCAGAGAAAAGAAAGGAGTCTGTGAGATTAACTCCAACAATTGCATACATAGGTCTTTATACACAGTTACTCGCCAAAGGACAAGTGGGGAAAGAAATCCAACATGGACTGAGGATTAGTCTTTGCTCACCCAGAGGAAGGAGCGTCATAGGCTAGGAGGAGCCTCTCATCCTCATGTCCACACTCCCTAGCCTGTCACCACCTCTAGATCTTTCCTAGAGAATACACAGGCCAGTTTAACATTCGAGTCTTTTCTCCTTTTCCTCATGGAACAAATGGGGGGCACTAGAAAATTTCTCTCAAAAAATCCACCAGTCTGTCTTGATGAAGGTCAATCTTTCAAGCAGTTTCTGCTGAAAAGTCCCAGTTCTCCTTGATTCCACTTTCAGTTCCCACATGTACCCACGGGGATAACAATGTGAGCTTCATCCCTCCTGCACAGACAAGTGTCAGAGCTGTGGAGTGGGCTGAGACGTGTGAAGTGGCTGGAAGACTCTGATCAGACTCAGGGTCTGTTCAGGAGACAATAAATATCTGGAACATTTTATTGGACAACTTTGCATTCTTTTTGCAGTGATTTATCACATAGCTTTTGTGGAGATTGATATTTACCTGCATTGTCTACTCAAAAGAAAACACATCCTTTGTTGACATCTGGTACTGTTTGGAGTAAAGCTGGAACCTCAGTATTTTATACACCTACTGCCTGGTGGCCTTTTAGTCAATAGTTCTAACTGTTCAGTGTCAAGTACATTAACACTGCCATTGACTGCTTCATTCCAGGTACAATTACCAAGGAAACAATCAGGACTTGGAGGCTCACAACCCAAACCCACCAGGCATTGGCAAGTTCACATCCTGCCAACTGGAGCACACAAGGAGTGTCTACTCTGAAGACCTTTCCCTGGACGAAGACAAGTACTCCTTCAGAGGGAGAGGTCACAGGAAGCACGAAGTTTCCTGGGCTTCCCCCTGGGACCACTGTCACACGGAGTGGTGCCTCTCACACACCTCCAGCCTCAAGTAAGATGTTTTCTCAACTGTTCCTTTCCTTTTCTGTGTCTCCCTCCTGATGCTTTTAGGTTCACATTAAAAAATGCATTTGTCTCTTTCCACTACCTTAAACTGTGCTACATCTTTTATGTGTGTGTGTGTGTGTGTGTGTCTACACATATATATGGAGAGAGAGAGAGTGCTTTTGTAATTTCACACAACCTCCCCTACCCATGCCTCCCCCATACCCCCACCAAACCTCATGTATTGCACTATACATGGTAAGTCCTATTCATTCAGGCATCTGTACCTAAATGTCCTTCAGTATAAATGTGTCCACATCTTAGTGTAAGCATAGTTCAGTAAGGTCAATGAAAGATGGAAAAACTTATTGGAAAAATATACTTCTAACATTTATGTTAATAGTTTTTATATAGTAATAGTTTAAGACTCATAAAAAGTTGCAAAAATATTACCAAAATTTCCCCTTCCCCCATTGGTAACATCAAAAATATTGATAGTATATTATGGCATAAGTATGTTTTTATTTAATAACCACATGATTAGAAGAAGCATTTCATTTCAGCTTTAACAGATTCAGTAACAATTTCCAGAGCAAGGATACATCTCTTTTAAGAGTGGCTGTAAATTTTTAGGTTCATAGTTGAATTAATATAGTTATACAATATTGAATTCAGTATAAATCCTGTAAGATATAAAATTGAATGAGTTTTTAACCCTTAAAGAAGATCTCTATTTCATTTTAAAATATGCTGTTTCCTACACTTTAAATGCTACTAACACTTAGATGTTTGCACATGTGTCTTTTATCTCCGTGTATCTGATTATTACTAGTCACAGTTGGTTACACTCGGATCCTTGGCACCTGAGTATGGATATAAAGTCATCAGGTAGATTTCAATGGTAATGTTTATCACCTCTACTAATTAACATGAAGTAAGTTTTTATGACATAAGTATTTTTATTTCAACAAAGTAGTTAGCCATCTCTGTCTGGAAATTCACAGGAAATGACAAAGTCAACATTTCATGGCGTGGTTAGGTTAATTTGCAACTGGGTGAATGTTTACACCAAGAATGTTATTGCCTTCACCCCAGCATGAAAACAGTAGTACCAGTGACTGGTCAAAGAGTTTCCCAGTTCTAGCACCTTGTTACACTATCAGCAATGTTGTCACTGAGTAGAGAAGGCACACTGACCTCTTATTTCCTGTCTGGAAATATAAACTGGAGTTATCACATTCATTGTCAATATTATCCATGCCAACAATGGATAACAGCCATCAGAACTCAATAACTTATTAATTCATTCATTCACTTATAGTTTGAAAATAGCTCTTTAAATGTCCTCTTTTCCTCTTGATTTCACAGACAGGAGGGAGACACAGGTAAGTAAACTAGAGTCATGATTCAGTCTGCAAAGAGCTCTTTATGCAGAAGCCCAATGAGGGTGTCCCACTCATCACAGTCAGGGACACAGCCTTCCCCAAAGAGGTAAAGAGTAACATGAGTCAAGCAGGCAAGGAAAAGGACATTGCCTGGTTGTCAGAGAAAAGCAGTATTCAACTCTACTAGCTAGAAAGACTTTAATATAGTAATTGACATCATTGGAGTTACACAAAATTATAAAATATTCAAGTATAATATGAAAGAAGATATAATTGCTACAGGCAAGTGTGCTGGACAGCTTCAGATGTCAACTTGACATGCCTGGGAAACTGGGAAATGGGAACCTCACTTGGGAAATGTCCTCTATCTGATTGACCTGTGGGCATGTCTGTGAGGCATTTTGTTGAGTGATATGGGAGGGTCCAGTTCAGTGTAAGTGGTGCCACCCCTGGGCAGGTGGTCCTGGGTTGTATAAGAAAGCAGGCTGAGCAAAAGCCAGGGGAGAAAGCCAGTAAGGAACATTCCTCCATGGTCTGTGCTTCTGTTCTTACCCCAGGTTCCTGCCCTGAGCTCCGTCCCTGACTCCCTTTAATGATGGGCTGTGAAGTGTAAGCTAAACAAACCCTTTCACCTCAGTTGTCTTTGGTCATGGTGCTGATCACAGAAATAGAAAACAAACTAGGACACCAAGAAAAGTCTTTAAATACCTAGCTGTGACACTAAAAGGAAAAGTGTTAGTTTCATATAAGGAAAACTACAGAACTTTAAGAAGGGTAACGAAATATTCAAATATATGAAAGGACATACCATGTTTACATATTATGTTTGAGTATTTAAAAAGAGTTGAGTTCCCAATTCAACTCAAAGCTGTAAAATTCTCCAATAGGACTAGTTTTATAAAGCTTGAAAAAAATTATTTTAACATTCTTCCATGGAAACAGTAAGTGAAAGCATCTAACTTTTAAAAATATGGCTGATTAGAGAAAATTTAGCGTAAGTAAAGATAACCCTGTAAGGTTGCTGGGCAGGAATCATTATTATATCTCCAGTTTAAGGATAAAATGAAAAACAAGTGTTGGAGAAGTATCTCAGCAGTAGAGCGTTTGCTTGCTGTTTGGTTACTTTGTTGCCATCACCAAATATTTGGCAAGAAGCAACTTAACAGGGGAACAGCTTTACTTTGGCTCACAGTTTAAGGGGGTACAGTCCACCACAGAGGAAAGGCATGGTGGCAGAAGCAGAAGGTAGTCGCATTGGAGCCACAGACAGGAAGCAGAAAGCAGATGGGGGATGGACTGTTATAAAACCTCAAGACCAGTTCCCCATTGGACATCTTCCTCCAGCAAGGAGGAAGGTTTCATAACCTTATACAACAGTGCCATCAGCTGGGTCTAAGCATTCCAACACGTGAGCCTATGGGAGACATGTCACATTCAAACTACACCTAGCATGTGCAAAGCATGTTCCTTCTACTGCACTGGAAAAAACAAAAACAAAAACAAAAAAAAACAGAAAAGCAAATTAAAAGGAACTTGCTCGAAATTCACAGTATAGAGAAAATAAGGCCACAGTCCATGCCTCCAGGTCTCTGCACCTCACACAATCTTCCCACTACATCACAGGGTTAGAAGTATTTTTCTTAAATTTGAGACAGGTCTTCCCAACTGCCAAACACATACCCTAACTGACTTAGGGATCCAAGGGATTTGGAGGATGTTTCTTTTTATTTTGTGCCAAGTCAAAGAAAACTCAATTTAGTCTATTTACACAGAAGTCCAGAGTAAAATTTAAGCCTCTGTGTTGTATACATTCATTGTATTTGCTTTTGAGAACATTTCATATGTCTGCAGTTTTATATATGATCAAAGAGATGAAGGGTACCAGTAGCCTGTGATTGTCACTTTGAACACACAGCTACCAGGAGCATGACCAGAGCACCATGGGTGATAGATAAGAGACAGACATGGGCTTCCACACTATCTGCACCCAAGGTTCAGACCATGGATAACACATCTGGAGGGCCACTCTGGGAAAGCCGTCCCTCTACACCAACATCCCCTGCAGATGTTCAGCAGCTCAGGAGCACAGAAAACCTGTTGCATCCTGCTGGAATACTGGCTACAGTTGGCAGCCCAACACAGCCCAGCACAGCCTCAGGTGAGAGACATTATTCACCACCTTTGCAACTATACTTGAAAGTGACTATTTTCTAAGCCTTTCCTAAAGTTTCTAATATACAGAGAACTAAAAACACAAATGAGCATTTAATAAAAGAGTATAAGATAAACTCTTCATTTTCTCACCATTTTCATTTGTGAATGAATAATGACTTCTGCTTCACAGCACTCTACATCTCTCTCTACCCTCTCTCTTCTTTTCCCATGTTTTATTAGCATATGTTAATTGTACAAAGTAAAGGGTTTCATTATGACGTTGTCATATACGGATACAATGAACTTTGATCATATTTACCCATCTGTTACTCTTCATCACCCCTACTTTCCCTCCTTTCCTCCAGTCCCTTTCCACATCCTTAGCCTTTCCTCTTTCAGTTTTATGCAAATTCACTTCCTGATTTCCCTTTTCCATCATTGTCTGTTAAGCAAGCGACCACTAGAAGTCAACATTGTTTACTCCAGACCAGCCAACTGCCTGTGGGCATAGCATTAATGATTGCAGCATGTGCATGTGATATAATGTTAATGCCACATATGTATATCTTTATGTTGTCAAGTAATCAGGAAGGTTGAGCTAAAAGAGGAGTTATCACATTTGAGCTATGAAAAGGAAGAATTACCAAGTTTGATTCCAGTGCTGTAGGGTAAAGTGTACTTTACTTCACTTTTACGAATTTCCCATAATTTCTATCCCATAGACAGAACTTATTTTTAATTATTCTTTTAAAAGAACTTATTTTCTCTGATGCTTTCAGGGTGGCCAGATGCTTTGTCAAATGCTTTCCACCCTTAATGGACTATACCAGGCACCATAGCTGTATTCTTAGCACCTGTGAACTTGGGTTTTCTCCCCTCTGGGCTGTGTTCTCAAGGGCTTATGTCTTCAATTGCAGGTTCCTGGGAAACACACCAGGCATTCAGTAAAATCTGTCAGATGACTGAATATCTTAAGAAATGTAGGAAGAGAAGCAAATGAATTTTAACAGACTTTAGGCTCAAAAATCTCAGCTGTATAATCAGACCTAGGAATGCCACTTGGCTTTCATCATAGCAACACACCTGAAATATGGCATTTGTGCAAGCATAGGGGAAAATTAAAGCAAATTTACTTTGGCCAGTGGACAACAGCCACCTTGGGGCTCTGAACTCTGTCTCCATTCAGACATAGCTGGGCTGAAATCTTGCTTTTACCACATACACAGTAAACAAATAATTTTCTTCTGTCCTCTGGTTCTAGTTTTCTTATCTATGAAGTGGGAGATTTTAGAGCTGTGATGGTTAAGTTCAGTATCATCTGCAGGGTGTTTGGCTCAGTAGATAGCACTTGGGAAGCAATCAGTCGATATAACCCTACTAAGCTGACCTGCTGCCCACAGCAGGCACCACAGCCATCTGTAGGATTCACAAGCCCTCAGCCCCTTCCACTCCAATAGTCTGTGATCCCAGGGCCATTCAGTCAAACTAAGTGACAGTCACAGACAAGGAACATTGTACCTGAATGTAGCTCAGATTGCTCTATTTCTGTAATTACATAGACACCCATCCAGGAAGCAAACATTATTGACACCTTCTGTATTGGAGCTTACAGGCCAATCAAAACCTGAAAACAAATCATAAGATGCTATTGAACCTTCCTAAGAGAATGCTCAGATTCCCCTGTGCAGTTGGGGGTCCTGCCCATTATGGACTATGTATGAATGACCATAGTGTTCATTTCTGAAACTCACACAGAAGTCCATGGAGTGACAGCCATGTTGAATTCAGTACCACAAAACTTACAGTCCCAGCAGAAGAGCCGTAGTAATTAGGGAACCATGTCACAGCTGTGTGGGCTGGAACCCAGACTCTGTGGCATCTCTCTCACCCTCCACCTTCATCCTCTGGATTCCAGCCACAGAGCACTCCTTGCTGCTCACTCCAGATCTTTGCACAGCTCTTGTGCTGTAGGGAGGCCCATTCTCACTAGTCCTGTACTCTGTGTCTCAGTCAACAATGTCACCTGTTGAACTGGGTGGTCACCTAGGCCAAGCTGCACCTCAGCTGTCCGCAAGGGTGAAGCTCACAGCTGTCTTCTCTCCTTTACCTCCCAGAAGGAGGGCCGTTGTGCTGGCTTTCCAGAGGCCAGACTCTTGACAACAAGGGTCAGGTTCAGAAGGGGTCCTAAAACCAAGACTTAATAAGCATGCAAAAAGGAAATATTGAACCAAGCCCAGGCTGTCATGAAAATGATTGACAGGTGACTTATGGGGGTGCAACGCTCAGATGAATGACAAGCAAGCCTTCTCTTTGCCCCAAAGGGTCCATGCTCACACATTTCCAGTTCTGTCGGATCACAGTTCCACGTAGCGTTACCTTAGCTTACTGATATTAGGTAGTTCCCACTGTCACATCACACTTTACCAGTTACTGATGGGATTTATCCATTCCCTTTCCTACAAGAGGAGCTCTACCATAGCTGCATTTCTTACTCATTCTTGTACTTACATGCTGCTTGCTATCTGGCACAATCAGCACTATTGGTGAGATAGGGAGCATCTTCTCCAGGCCAGGCTACCCTTGAAGAAATGCATGCTTGCTTCTTTCTTTCCTTCCAGGAACAGGTACCCCTAGCACCCAGACTCCAAGACCAACCAAGGCACCAGCCCCTAGAGACCCACAGACAGGTGAGATTCCATGGACTGACAAAGAAACCCAGTATCACAGGGAAAAGTGCAGCCTGGGAACAGGAGCGAGGTGGGACAAGGGCACCTGTACACGTGTAGCTGCTATAGTTTACTGGAGGAGGGGCCAGAGAACTGCTTGCATAGCCTTGCTATACTGTTAAATCACTGTGCAAAGATGAATAAACCATTTGTTACCCTGTGGCTATCATTTCCCTATGGATTTTGAGAGCTCTCTAATCTTAAGGTGTTAGGGTTCTCTGACTGTGTGTGTAATAGCCCAAGACCATCTCATTTTAGTTTTGGACAATGCTCTTCTTGCTCCTTGCAGTTAATGTTCCTGCAGAGTGGCCATTCAGCACTGAGGAAGAGCCAGCCTTGATCCCAGCACACCAGCAGGTTTCAAGTGAGTAGGAACCCAGTCATTACTATAGCCTGTATTTATTTTGAACAAGGTTGCATGGTCTAATATAGAGTTTTGTTTCCGGGCCGGGCGTGGTGGCACACACCTTTAATCCCAGTACTTGGGAGGCAAAGGCAAATGGATCTCTGTGAGTTTGAGGCCAGCCTGGCCTACATAGCAAGTTCTAGGCCAGCTGAGGCTACAGGGAGACCCCGCCTCAAAAAAAAAAAAAAAAAAAAAAAGAGTTTTGTTTGATGAATGTAGGGTCAGAGCTCTAGGATGCAAATCCCAGTTCAACCCGTGGGGGTGTGGCCCTTAATTCTAAGCAAAACAATTGCTTCAATTCTAAGCAAAACTAATTGCAATTATTGTATTTAAGACATCTGTTCTTTTTATTATTTTCTACATGGTTTTTTTTAGACAGTCTTACTATGTAGTCCTGACTGGCTTGTTCTACATGGTTTTGTATTAAGATAATGTGTATGACACTGAATTGGAATTATAAAGCTCTATGTTATTTTAATTTGATGAACTTTCATTGAGCGAACATTTAAGAAGCAGCATGTTACGCGTGCTTTGCAAATGGAAGCTGCTCTTATGATAAGCCCGCTGTCTGATTGTGGACAGAACAGAGTGAGGACAGGCAATAAATGATGACTCCAAAAGCCAAGTCCCATTCTCTGGATGCAGTTCTATGTTTTAAAGGCGCCACATCCCTGTACACACCACTCCTGTGGACCTGAGATACAGCCACTCTCTGGGCTCGCGGGAGTTCAGAGACCTGAATTTCTTTGGGCTTTTTTTTTTAATTGCATTTTCTCAACTTTTGACTGTTTCATTCCCTTCTTTTTTGTTATGTCAGCTCCTTAAGAACAAAATTAAGACAAAGCAAACCTTCAAAGTTAGTTGGGTCCTCAGGCCCCTCCCACTCCTGGATGCCTTTCTATTAGAGCTTTATGAGTGTTCTGGGGCTGGTCAGTCATGTGTCAACAGGGCATTATTAAACTGCTGGAGCCTGCACAGTCTCCTGTTTCACATCACCTCAGATCTGCCTGAGCCCTCATGACCTCCAGTAAATGGTGAATGGGCCTTTCAGACACAAAGACGCAATTGTGCTACCAAGAAATTGTGTCCCCTGTATCCCAAAGGTCTAAAGAAAACCATTGATGGTGCAGACAATGTTGTTGTCAGGACACGTTCTAGAAAACAAGCTAACTATATCTACGTCCATATTCATACCTTTAACTGTATCCACATAGCTGTCTATATTGGTTACTTTTCTGTTGCTGTGATAAAACACCATGACCAAGGGAACTTCTCGAAGGAAGAGTTTATTTAGGCTTTGGGTTCCGAGGGGTAAGAGTTCATCATTGCAGGGAGGCATGGCAGGAGGCACCTGGAGCAGAATGCTGAGCGCTCACGTCTTTAAGCACAAAAAGCAGACAAAGAATACTGGAAGTAAAGCAAGGCTACGAACTTTCAGAGTCTGCCCCCAGTTACCCGCTTCCTCTAGCAATGCCATACCTCCTAAACCTCTGCAAAGAGCACCATCAACTGGGGCCAAGTGTTCAAATACATGAGCCTATGGGGGACATTTCTCATTCAGACCACCACAGTGTCTATCTATCTGTCCTATCCACTCACCTATCCGTCATGTATCATCTATCCTTAGTTACTTCTGCCTCTATACCATTCACCTGGTTATCTATCATGTATCATCTCTGTCCTTCTGTCTAACTATCATGTATATAATGAGACATTCATTATATAAAATAAAGAGGTCCTAGAATCTTTGAGTAATTATTCTGCTCATCAATAAAGAAATGCATGCCACAAAGTCTGCCAGTCTTTCCTTCATCCCTTCAAGGAATATATATTGAGCTTCTACTGTATTCCAGGCCTGATATTAGGATCATTTTCACTTTCTCTGTCCAATGATTCTGGAAGGTAGATAATGTTATCCTCATTAAACAAGTCTGGTAAGGCCTGCAGATAACAGAGACTGAGTTTGGAACCCATATCTGCCTAAGTCAAAGTCTGAGCTCATTTTGTGCTTCCTTGTATCTTCCACAATGTGGCATGTACACACACACACACACACACACACACACACACACACACACTGTAACGAGAGGAAGAGCATTATAAGGTTCTTGAGGGCCGAAGCAGTAAGCACTTTGTGTATCCAGTGAGGAAGAGAATCCCTGCAGCTTGAGGGGTCATTCACAGGTGGGCATGAGCAAGTGCCTTCTAGACAAGATGCTGCTAAGCACGCACTCCTGCAGAGCCTTGGCACAAAGGCACGGGGTCCACCCAGAAGCACTGGTGTTCCCAGGGACTGAAAAGAGTCTTTGTGGCTGGAATTCTGGTGCTGAAGGTGAATATCAGTGGGACTGAGTCCAGAGAGGCCAGTGAGAGTAAAGTCATTAGCAACTGCCACCAGAGCAAGGAACTAGCGGTCTTCTGAGGCATGGAAAAGCTATGTGGCCAGATGTTTGCTATGCAGTGGTGTCCCTGACCTCAGAGCAGAGACTACAGGGAGGCTGGATCAGGGGGTGCAGTGAGGAAACTTTTGTGCTGATGATGACTAGTGATGATGGTGGCTAGAACTAAAGGTGATCGCATAGGCAGGAAATTTTGGTGATATTTAGGAGATGGGATCATGGGGATATGAAGATAGTTGAGTGAGCTTTAGGAGAGAACCAAGTTAGATCAAGTGGCTATCCTGAGTATCACTTCCTGGTATAGATGAGGGGAAGCAAGGAAGTGGGGCACGTGTGTCCATCCCTAAGGATGTTGACTGTGTAGTAAGAAAGTGGTATTTATGATCATGAGCCTAGAGTCAGGTCTCTGCAGAACCACTCACTCCCTGGTGCATGACTAATCAACTTCAGGATCTCTCAGTATTCTTTCTATAAAACACTACTTCCAGTATCTACCCCATCAGATTTTATAAGGACTAAATTAGACAATCTATATGAAAAAGCTTGGAAAATGTCCAATTCACAACAGATGCTAAATGACACATTGGTGGGAACTGGGCAATGCTCTGGGGGAAAATGTTCTAGTTGGCTCATGGAAAAATATTATCTTTCTACATTGTTGAAAAGTCTCTAACTTTATGAACCTCTCTCTACTTAATAAATATATTAAATTCTTAATAAATATATAAAAATTCTCGGCCTGGGTGTGTAGCTCCATTGTAGATCACTTACCTGCATGTATGAGGGCCTGGGTTCCATCCCTAGTGCCACAAAAGAAGTCTTTTAAAAAAATCTCATAAAAATATAAAAGGAGGGGCTGGAGATTTAAGAGTGCATTAAGATTTAAGAGTAAGCATTTAGAGAGTGCTTACTGCCCTTGCAGAGGGTCTGAGTTTGGTTCCCAGCCCCTACATAGGTAGCTACCATCTGTAACTCAAGTTCCAGGGGATCCAATGCCCTTTTGGCCTCTGCAGGCACATGTACACACATGTTCACATAAACTCATGCAGGTATATGCACACAAATTCTATTTATATAATTAAAGTATGTAAACATATCAAAGATGTTTTTCAACTCAGTAATCAATAAAGATCTTTAAAATATTTCAGTGGAGAATTTGAAGAGTAGAGATTTATAGTCAGTCTAGGGAAGTAATTTCAAATGAATTTGCCAATTGATAGTCACACCTGAAGGAAAAGAACTCAGTTTCTCAGTGTCCCAGCTTGCTAGCTTTGTCTTCGAACCTCTCCTTTCTGCACTAGTTTCTTGTTGCTGCAACAAAATACTGGACAAAATGAACTTAAGGACAGGTTTGTTCTGGCTCACAGTTCAAGAGAATAGTTGGTCGTAGCAGGGAAACAAGATAACAAGAACTTGAAGCAGATGGTCACATTTTGTCTAAAGCTAGGAAGCAAACGTGGATGAATCCTGGTGCCCAGCTCACTTTTTACTTTTTACTCAGTCCAGGACCCTATTCCATGGATTAGAGCCCACATGTAAGGTGGGTCTTCTTACCTCGATTAATCTAGTCTAGAGAAGTCCCTCAAAGACACGCCTAGAGGTTTATTTCCTAGGCGATTCCAGAGCCTACCAAGTTGACAACCAATGTTAATCACATCTTTTCTCCTTCTTCACACACACACACACACACACACACACACACACACACACACACCATATTGTCTATATTCAAAGTGTTCTCCATCCCCCAGTCAGTCGTCACCTTGTATGATATTCAGCTATAAGGAACTCTGTCCTTTGTACTAAAAATGCCCTCCGCCTGGTGCATTTCTGTTTAATGTTTCCAATGCCTCTCTAAACTGTGCCCCTCAGAGGAAACCATGTCTGGTCTACTCCAGGAACTTGATTCTCATCTACTACCTACCTGTCTCTTGAAACTGAGTGAGCAGTTATGCAGCCACATTATATTTACTGACTGCCTCCAAGCTACCTTAAATCGGGACTAGTCCATACTAGCCTGGCACAAGTCTTACCCAAGGGAAGATGCTTGCTGAGCTATTGTTGATTTAACTTCTTTGAGATTGCATGTTCTAGGGTGTCCTCAGCCACTCCTCAAAGAGGGAGCCATGACAGCTGCTCCTCTCCTCCTGGCCATCCAGAAGTTCAGCCCATGCCTGATGGAATTGTGCCGCTTCTTCCAGCAGTGCTTGTGTGTGAGCCGAAAGCGGGATCCCAGTCCAGAAGCTGCTAGGTAACCCAAGACAGAGGCTCCTTTGTATACCCAGTGTTTATAGATTTCTAATATTGTGCATGGCTTCGCTGCAGGTTATAGGGTAGACACACAGCTGGCAAGTTACTGTACTCTGCCATGAGTCCTCTGCTAGTCTGTTACTTCCTTGAGAGCTATGACAGGGTTTCACTCACCTCTGCATTCCCAAAGCCAAATGCAGGAGCTGGCAAAGGAAGCATGGATGAGCTGAGCCACACCGAGTTGACTTCATTTGAGATGAGTTGAGATTAGTTGTGCTGAGATGAATTGGGTTGAATTGTGACGAGCTTAATTGAATTGACTGTGTTGAATTGAGCTATACTGGGGTGAGGGGATTTGGGATGAAGTGAGTTGGTTTGAATTGAGATGAGTTGTACTGAAATGGCCTGTGTTGAATGGAGATGAGGTGAGAGGAGGTAAGTTGGGTTGAATTGGCAGGTAATGTGAAGTGAACTAATGGGGAGGTAAGTTGATTGTATTGAGGTGAGGTGGGGTAACTTAGACTTGAACAGAAATGAGTTGTACTGTATCTGGTAGAATTACCATTGAGGACTTAGAATCCCAGTACCCTCAGCTTGGTAAAAATGTTTATGAAGATTTGCCTATCTAAACCACAATCCTTCTATAAATCCATAGCAGACGCTGCCTGCCAAGTGAAAAGGTTGTAAAACCAAATTTAGAAGGCAGGCCACATTTCACTAAGAAGACCTAGACACAGACCTTGCCTGCCCTTCACTACTGGTAATGCTGCCCTATTTTCTGGGGTTTGTTCTTGACTGAAAATCCAGAACAATGAATATATGTACCCTCTCCCTGGCAGTGTGGGAGCCAATTTCCCAGTCTTTAATGTTATTGTAAAAGTCTACTCACAGGTCCTTCAGTTCTTCAAATATCCATTATGCACTGCATCCAAGCATCAAGCCCAGGCTTGAATCCTTTTCTTTTTGTCCATTTTTAGCATCACTCTAGAATGCCTCAATCAGTTTGTTTCTTCCCTCCAGAGAAGGTAATAAAACTTATAGAACCAAGCCATCTACCCTTTAAAAAATATCATATTTGAAAACATCCATACAGGGCTGGAGAGATGGCTCAGCAGTTAAGAGTACTTGCTGCTCTTGAAGAGGACCTAGGTTCAGATCCAAGCACCCATATCAGGAGGCTTACAATTACCTGTAACTCCAGCTCCAAGGAATCTGACATCTTCTTCTGACCTCTGCAGGTAGACACACACACACACACACACACACACACACACACACACACACACAAAAAAAAACACATTTTATAAAAGTTTTTTTTTTTTTACACCCACTTCCCAGATAGCACCCTCCCATAGCCTCCCTCCCCCTACTAGAGCCCTTTTACTCTAATATCCCTGCTACTGTCTGCTGTATTGTCGGCACCCCCAGCCATTTCCCACTACTTTCCCTTCTGGTGAATCTAGTCAGCCTATCTAGAGGTCTTTGTTTTAGGAGGGTCAGCTGTTCCTCATCTAGTGGTAATCAGTTGTCAATATTCCTTTGGATAAGACTGTGTTCTGCTGTTCATTTTCCCAGTTCTATGCTGGGTTACTATCTGAGAGTCGCTTTGGCCACCCTGGCCAACAATTCAAAAGAAGGTATCACCTGTCTGGCATTGTTGCTTGTTATGTAGCCTTTAGCTATACATATGGACTCTTATGAAATTATATTGGCCCTTTTAATCTTTGGTTATACTTTCCTTTTGGGTTTTTTAAAAAGAAAGAAAACATTCATTGTAACAAAAGATTAAGAACAAAAGGGAAAGGAAAAAGTTTCCATGGAGAAATTTTTAGTTAAATTTATAGCAATAAAGCAGGTGTTTACCTGGTCTTTCACTTCTGTCTCCATATTTTCATTGAATAGTTGATTGTTCCATAAACTCACATGAAACATTGACTATAATATAAGAATAACAGAGTGAGAAGATGGTGCTACTTAGTGTGTTTGTTGAATAAAAGTGCTTCTGAAATTTAAAAGACAAAGCACTATTTAGTGGAGAAGCTGGCGATATAAAGAGATGAATTTCAAACCAGTTTAGCAAGTACTGTAGGATGCCCTGCATGGGGAAATAGCACTCAAGAAGGCAGAATACAGGAGAGGCCACTACAGACAACAATGAGATGAGATAGCATGTGCCAAGACAGAGTGGAAGACAGCCTGCAGCGTTTAGAATCTCTGGGCTGTGGTGCCCAATGCTGGGACGTATCCCTATTCAAGATGATCTTGTCCTTCCAATCACCTATGTTTTCTCTCATAAATCATTCCCCATGCCTTGCCATGGAGTTCCATGTGTCTTTCTAAGCTTTCTGATGTCTCCTCATTTAGAAGAAACTGATTAGACATGCACGCACCAACATCACAGTGTTATTAGCAAAAACAATGAGTCTTTCTGTAAGAAACAGTATATTTTTAAATGAAATGGAGATCTTTTTTAAAGGTTAAAGACTCATTCAATTTTACATCTTAAAGGGTTTATACTGAGTTCAATATTGTATAGCATATATATATATATACATATGAAACTGAACATAGAGAACAGTTCATTCTATCAGTTTTTAAACTCTGATTCCCTAAACTCCCTTTCTCCCCAAACTGTCTTCCTACATAGTCCTCTCTTAAGATGTTTCCCCTCTGGAGTCCCTAGCACAATCCTGGGGACATGCCCTCTTTCCTTCCTTGTAGGACAACAGCAGCTAGGTCCCTTATATATATACATATGAAACTGAACATAGAGAACAGTTCATTCTATCAGTTTTTAAACTCTGATTCCCTAAACTCCCTTTCTCCCCAAACTGTCTTCCTACATAGTCCTCTCTTAAGATGTTTCCCCTCTGGAGTCCCTAGCACAATCCTGGGGACATGCCCTCTTTCCTTCCTTGTAGGACAACAGCAGCTAGGTCCCTTTCCCTCCTGGTGATTGACAGATGCTTGTGTCTCTGGGGTTGGTCATGTGTCTGTGGCTTCTGGTTGTGTTAGGCTTTTGCTGCTTCCACATAGGTGAGTGGCTCTGTTCTGATTGATACATTGGTGAGTGCTTCAAGAAGTTCTAGCTCATTCTACAATGTAACTGAAGCTGGCATCTGCCCTAAGAACCTGAAGACACACACAGCAGGCCATGTTTCCTGCTGTTTCTATTCTAAGACCATCAAGCCTTTTATGCACAAGAAATGGGTCTTCTAAGTTATCAACACATCACTGTTAACAATACTTTTACTCCATTCTCCTCAAAGTAGAAGTCATGGCTGTTTATCCACTAATGACTACCCTTGCTGTGTTTCCTTGGGGAGAGGAGGATGGATGGTCTTCTGTAAGGGCTCAGAGATGCCCATGTTATATTTAAGTAGTTTCTCTCTTGTTCATTGAAGTAGAAACTCCAAGTCATGTGAATTAAGGCCTAGAGTGGCAGCTCTGGGCTTGTGAGAGTACGTTGCATGGTGCTGTAAGCTCTGGCCCAGTCTGAACACTCACAGAGCACCTCAGGTAGCTCTATATATGTATTCGGGAACATCATGTCCTCACTGTGTTGTAAGCAGTTGAGACTTGTTAAAATTGTTAGAAAACGGGCCTTGAACACTGTCATACTAGCTGAGGAGGACTGAAACTAGGGTATAATCCAAGGCTTCCAAAGCCAGTAGGTACCTTGATGTGCTGTAAGGAAGGTCAGGCTGGAAGCTTAGCAGACTTAGGTTTATTTTAGGTTCTGCCACTTACAAGCCATGTGGTATTAGGCTATTTGTGTAGTCTTTCTGAACCTCACTTGGTTTAAGTGCATCATGGACCTAGTCTTGCCCACATTCCAGGCCACATGTTACATAATTCCAAGAGCACCATTCACAGAGAAGGGTGGAGGTGCTCTTGCTGTGCTCACAGTGTTGTGAGGATGAAATGAGATAATGTACTTGATGCTCCTGTCAGCACCAGGAAAAGGGTACTAATGTTGGGCTAATGACTGTGGTGGCTGTCCTACTGCCATCTTTGCCAAGTGTGGATCCCGTCTCTGGCATGCTGTGGCAATGGTATCCTAATGCTTAGTGACTTATCAGCTGTAGGGTTGACCAGACTTGACACTTATCTCTTTCTAAATTTCACCATGAGCAGGTGGAGTCCAGGCTCACAGGAAGAGCAGCTGTACTGTGTCCATCAATGAAATGCAACCCTTGCTCTGTCTCTGGTCAGCTCCGCACTGAAGCATGTGGCTTGAGCAAACTCCATTTCCCAGGATGCCTAGTCACCCAGGTTCCTGGTTGTTCAGGCGATAGAAGACATTGGCAGAACAGAGGAAAGGCCAAAAAGTTTCTCCTGTCTCACCCTACATTTCTGCATTTCCAGAAATGGCTCTGTCTCTTCTGTGGTTCCAGCATCTGCAAAGAATCCTCACTATTGCTGCTCCGCCATTCTTCACCATGCTCTGGCTGTATACTTTCTCTTTCTGACTCCCCAGGCTGGTAATTCCCTATGCTGCGGACAGAGAATGCCTGTGTTCTTTGTTCTTTCTAGCCTTTTTCTTCGTTCTCTTCTGACCTGCTTAGGACCAATTTCCAGTGTGAAATGGCTTCTGCTTTCCTGTCAGAGTCTTGACTCAAATATGGGCTTTATTGCCTATTGGAATGACAGTGTGTTCTAACATGGGCTGGATTACCTGGGCTAAAATCCACACAGCTGCTTGAAAGCAGAGTGTCCCTGGACAAATCAGTGCATCTCTGAGGCTCTGTTTTTGTTGCAGTTTCCTCAGTTAAACTGGGGCAATAGCACCTGGGAAATCTTCACAATGAGCACATTGAGAAGTTGTTGGCCAGCTCCCTAGAGCATGCTAGGATCACAGAATAAGAGGTAGAAGAGAAACTAGAGCAAAGCCCAACCTCCTCATGTATCAGATGAGAGCTCTGAGTTGTGCTGTGAGCCAGTGGCAGCCTGGACTGTAGCCTCTCTGATAACATGGCTGTGATCTCTCCGCCGCAGAACTTTGAAGCGATTCCTGCTACCTCAGACCAGCAGCACAGTATCACTCTGTGATGTATTTGCTGCATTTTTGTCAATGGCAGTACTTGATGGTCTCTCTCTGTTCCCCCAAAATACAAATAAAAACGGTCATTTATTGAGTATTTGCACATTGCTATAGTTCAGGAACTTTGTACATATTGTGGCACTTAATCCTCCAACAACTTGTGAGTATAAGCTTTATATTATTACCTTTCATTTATATAGTAAGAAACTAAGGCTGAGAGAATTAAGTACACAGCCTAAAGACACACATAATAATAAACCGTGGATCCAAGATTAAAAATAAATCTTGTTGGATCCAAAGTCTGAGCTGTTTCCTAACCACCCACTTTTCCTCCCATAACCTGTAAAGATGGAGGTCCTTGGTGTAAATAATGAGCCATGTTCATATTTGTGTGACTACTCTTGATTCTGGCTGACTTCTCATGACCATCACAGTAAAGTGACCATTTCCAACTCTGATCAAACCTTCAGGCACTGTCTGGAATACTATTCCTGGTTTCTGAAGAATGCGACACTGATCTGTCAGAGGGTGAAAAGACTGTCTCATTCTCGCAGTAAGTACTCACCTTGGCAATGTCATAGCTTGGCAGAGAGTGCATTCATTCTATGGAAGGTTCTGTGACCCTGAGAGGCCGTCTTGTCTTAGCAGGGGCCAGAAAACTGCTCTGGTTCACTGAGTCACCATCGGGTCGAGACAGAGAGCCTGGAGTTCAGTCAAGCCCTTAATGTTTACAATAGGTATAGAAATAGTAGAGTCAGCCAGAGTACAATGCTGCCCTCCTTGTGAACTCAGGCACGTCTCAGCCTCTGAGTCCCTACGTACAATAAAAAGGTACACAAAAATAAAATGGACAGCAACCTCCTCCAAAAACACTGAAATTCCCACCCAAAAGAAAAGAGAAGTAATTCAAAGAACAGAGGCCAACATGAAGTCTTAGAAGTGGCTGGTGCCCCTCCATCCTTGTCCTGATGGCTTCAAAGCCTAATGGTACCCAGAAGTGCCTGATATCACCTTTGACTTTTCTTCCAATCCTATAAGTGAAAGTGGCCATACTGGTCTCTCTGGTCCCAACATCACATTGAGCTGTTTTATTCTTTCATCAACCTGGACTCTCTGGTTAAGGGCTATGGCCTTTTGAAAATCATGGTGTTATTGTGTTGTCTCTTTATTTTGGGGCCAAATGGGATCCATTGGCTCAGTACTGACAGTTCTTAGAAACTGTCCTTGTTCTTGTCACTCTCCATCATCTCTCATTTCTCAGATACTGGCCTCTCATAGACCTTCCCTATGCTTTGTCTCCTAAAATCAGTCTCTGTCTCTCCTCTTCCATAAGAGTCCTCTGTTTACTTCACTTCCTTGTTTTTCGATTATTCTTTATACCTCAAACACAGGTCCCTGGTCTTCTATCTGTCATCCACTTGTCTTTTTCTCTTTCTTCTACCACCTTCCTTCTGCACTGCAAAAGCCAAACACTGGGATGGGGTTCAGAAGTCAAGGGAAGAATTCCCCCACTTCGTGTGTGGACACAGAATAGGACAGCTTGCCAATACATAATCCAATAGCTCTTCTTTCCTCCTTGTCATGTTGAAACCTCTATACACACAACACGTTATGTTTACTGATCAACATATTAATGAATTTAAATTCCCATAATGCAACCTGGGGAGATGAGTTAGGCACAGTTCAGTATTGGGACAACAGTATCTGGCAGAGTGATGAAACGTGGCTGTTCCTCCGATTCTGCTGCTGAACGGCAAGGGGCTCCCACAGGAGTCACTTCCAATGGATCCCTGTCAGGACACCGTCCCGCACTTGTCCTCTCAAACAACCTGAACTGAGCCTGGTGCTGTTGGGATTTGTGTCTCTCTTCTGTCCCAGTCTCAGTGTCCTGAGTTCCTTTTTGCTTTTTCAGCCTTGAAGCAAAAATGCCTTGAAAATGTCTGCAAGTCTGTGTGACGACCTAACAATGACTTCAGGCACCAAACCGTCACCCTGGCCCTTGTCCCAGCATGGCTGCCTGCAAAATTCAGACAGACTCCAGCCAGGTCAGCCAGGAACTAAAAAGAATTCTCTTTGGAAGCAGCAATTTTTTTTCTCTTCTGTGAATAAGGCAGAGGCTTCATTGCTGGAGTAATACCAGGCTTCCCTGCCTGCTTTAGCACAATGGAAACTTAGGATCTAGGCTCCAGAACCTCCTGTAGGGCCTGTAGCAATTATGATAACTGGGAGAGAAGGTTTGTGTTAGTGTGCACACAACGGTCCAGCACAGACACTGTGACACAATACTGGGAGCAACTTAGACTTGGGACTTTTGCATGACAAGAGGATAAGCCGAAAAAGCCTGGTTTTACACTCCAGAGAGATCTCCTTATTTTGTTATACAGTTGGATCCTTGGTTGAATATAACTGTTCACACTTGCCATGCTAAGGGATTAAGATCCTCTTCAAGTCCCTAAGAAGGAGGTGACAGAAACCTTTCCTCAGAAAGAGGTGTGGGGAATTGTTTTTCTGGTGTCTTGTCTTGACTCTTCTTCTCCATGTCCCATTGATCAGAAAGAGGTGTGGGGAATTGTTTTTCTGGTGTCTTGTCTTGACTCTTCTCCATGTCCCATTGTATCCGAGGGTCCCCTAGAGACCCCTCAGGCTCAGTGCTTCAGACTTCAGAGCTCATAAAAACTGATGTATTCACACTTACTGTGTATCATAGCAAAAAGGCATGTAGAGAAATTTCCAGGTGAGCCAGGCATGAGCTTCTGGCTCTCCTCCTCACATGGGGTTGCACATGCAATCAGTTCACTTCACTCTCCAGCACTGATATGGAATAACACAGATGAAGTGTTATCAGCCTGGGAAGCTCTTGAGCCTTGGTGTTCAGAGATTTTCTTGAAGCTGATTATGTAGGCATGGAGTGACTAAAGGGCAGAATTTGGGTACTCAGTCTCCCAGAATTGACACTGTATGACCCAAGGCCCTCACTGTAAGATATATGTTACATGAACATATAGTGTGACTCAATACCTATTATGCAAAGACACTCCTTTTGGGTAATTCCAAGGGCTTAGGGGTGGTTTCCTAGTTGCTGTGCAAGGTCCCAATCTTCCTTTGAACACCTGATACCTCCTGAGCCAGCCTTTTCTACAAACCCACATACTGAAGAGGAAAACTGTTACCAGGGACCACCCCTTCATTATATCAGGTCCCTTTTCACTATTCCTAGACCTGCAGGCTTTCTGATTTCTCCTCACGTTCCCGACTGTGCAAAGCCTGGCTAGGCAGGATTTCTTTCTCCTCACAAGTGGTTCTGTGTGGACTCTTTGCTCCATGTTACCAGGGACACCTTTCCTCTTTATATGCCCAGTGCTCCTCCTCTCCTCTCTCACCTTAGGTCTCTGCCTACTCACTGCTTTTCTTCTTGACGATCTATGACGGTCCTTTGGAGAAGAAAAGTTACTGTCTGTTCCTCATCCAAGCATAAACAGTTCCCCATTGGATGATAGCTGAATGCCCTAATACCATATACAAAGTAGAAAGTGCTTAGAGATGGTAGAACTTGAACTTAGGCAGAGAAACAGCAGGTATTCTCCTGTCCAGTCAAACAGAAAGATTCATTTATAATCTCTGAACACTTGAAAGACCCTTAAAATCATGCAACTTTCAAGTTCATCAGCATCTGTTGTCACAATTTTGGAGCCCTGAAAATGACCTTTGCGTCTACAAAGATGAAACAAATGCAACCAGTTTTCTAGGGAACAAAAGGGCTCCTACATCAATAGAAATAAAGGAATTGTTATTAGTTAACATTAAAACCTACACTAATTATGTGTGTTAATTTGACTGGGCCCTTTCTGATGGACAAAATTGATATTACTCAAGGACCTTTGACAAAAATGGATGTCCAGAGTTCTCCAAAGAGCAACTAATCACCCAGGAAATTAAGGATGGACTGATGACTCCCAACCACATGCACAGCTATTCTCTTGAGGCTAACTCTTGGACTCAGCTTATTCATTCGTTGTAAATAATGACTAAGCATGACTATTCCTTGAAAAGGCTCAAATGTGGGGTACCTCTGAGGCCTGTACAGAGATCTGATCTAGGATCAAGGACAAAGACTCAAAGGACCTTGTAGGACTAGCTTCCTATAGTTATACCGCCTGCACAATGGCAGCAATGGTAGGAAGAAAATAGACCCGTATGTAAACCACCTGGTGCTGGAGCCTCCTGGTCTCCCAGAAGTTTAAGCCAAGTAATTCTGGGTCAAGGAGATCATGATTTAAATGATAGCTAGGGAGATGAGCAAACCTAAGGGGATGACACAGAACTGGGGTTTGAATTCATGTATATGTGGCTACCAGTGCTTAACTGATAAGAGATGGGTCACTTATATGCCCCCAGTGACCAAGGAAATTACACAGTTGCCCAGGCAACATCATTAAACTGAATTCTTCCTGGCAGGAAAGGGCAGGAGTTTTTCTATATCCTTCAAGCTCCAGAGACAAAGAGAGGCAGGGAAAGAAGAGGGACAGGGAAAGGAAGAAAGAGAAAGGAAGGGAGAGGGAGAGACGTGTCTGTCTGTCTTGGCCCCAGGACCCATCCTTCCTCTTTATGCAAAGTGCTCTTCTGGGCTTGAGGGAGTGAGGAATTTAGCTGCTTTCATAATGAAATCTGTCATTAAACTCACTGAGAACAACCCTTGTCTTCTTACATTTGTATTCTTGGGAAAACCTAACTCATCCTATTCTATGAAAAGTGAAAGCTATGGTTCTAGGGGATACTTGCCATTGTGGCAATGTCTGGAGACATTGTCTTGGTTCTTACATTTGTATTCTTGGGAAAACCTAACTCATCCTATTCTATGAAAAGGAAAGTGAAAGCTATGGTTCTGGGGGATACTTGCCATTGTGGCAATGTCTGGAGACATTGTCTTGGCGGGGGGATGGAAATTGCCTCTGACGTCCACTGAGTACACCTGAAATCCTGCAATGTCCAAGACGGTGTCAACAGAAAGGAATGAGTTGAACCAAAATATCAACACTACTAAAGTCAATATATGGCCTTTGTATCAGATACTTTTGCATCATTGTGAAAAATCACCTTACGTAAAAACTTAAGGGAGGAACAATTTATTTTAGCCCATGACTTCAGAGGATTGAGTCTTGGGGAGCTCATGGCCGAGGAGGTTTAACCTCATTGCAGATCCAAAGCAGACTAAAAAAGCAGGGGAGAGAAAGGGAGACAGAGAGAGCAGGGGAGGGTACAGGAGCAAGATACTCCCAAGGGTCTGCCTCCCGGCGTCTGCCTTCTCCAGTGAGGCCCCACATGGCGGAGAGTCCAGAATCTTTGAAAACAGTGCCACTAGTCGAGGACCAAATACTCAACACATATGCCTGATGTGGAGGGCAGTTCATTTTTAAAACCAAGATCCCCTGTTACAGGCCTTGGGAGAAAAGCCTTCAAATCCCCCTGCAAATGACTAGAACAGTCTACCTTGGCGGGTTGTCGTGCCTTAGCATCATTTTGTAGCTAGGCTCTTGAGAGGCTGAGAGCATGGTTTGGGATGCATTGAGACACGTGGCCCCATTGATTTGATCACTTAAAAGGTGATGACTCTTCTGTGCTTGTGAGGAAGGACTGGAGCCAGTGCAGCTCCAGTCCCCAGTACACCTCCTGGGTGACCTAGTGAAATTACAGTAAAAGCTCCGGCACACACGGACAGCTTCTTATCTGGAGAATCCATTCAGCAGATTCTGCTGGGGAGCTCCATGGAGCCCTGATGTAATCATCTGACCAGTCCTGCTTCCTCAGGAGGCAGGGTTGGAACCAGCAACTCAGAAGGTTCACAGCCAGGCTGACCTGACCTGTGCCCCAAAATGAGCCCATCACATTGACTGAGGACAAATGCCTCAGTCCTAATGGCACCACTGAGACTGTAAACAGTTGCTGCTCAGTTCCTTCTGCCTACGATTACATGGTTATGGCTGCATAGAGGCAAGGGAAAATTCCTAACAACCACTGGTGGCACACTCCAGGCACTCAAGATAAGGTCAGTTCTCCTTGGCAAAATCAGGAAGGAAAACAAAGGTTTGTGAAGAGGAGAGGAGACGCTGAAGAGTCCCTCTACCTCATTCTGCATACCTCAGTCTAGTAGGAACCTCCACTAAGAAGACTTGGAAGCCAAAATGGAGCCAGAACAAACCCACCATCACACTGTCACTCAGCAGTGAGGCTGGCAGTGACACCTAAGGTGGTTGATTATAAAGTCCCATTTCACTGTACCCCACACCTTAGGCAGAAAGGAAAGAAATATCAAAATACCAGGTCCACCATGGACCATAAGAAGAGTCACCCCAGATATCCCTTGTAGAAATCATTAGGACAAAGTCTGCCCTTTTCCTAGCAGGGGGAGCCTTGTGACCTTCATCATCTTTCATCTTCCAGAGCTTCCCTGTAACTCTACGACATAATCACTGAGCCTCTGAGCCATTGAGGTGAGGTGGAGTGTGTGGAACAGGGTGGCCATTGTTCTCTAATTAGAGCCTGGGTCTTCTCAGGGGCTCAGGATGGGCCTCCTTAATATGGAACCTTTACCTGTGCCAAGATATAGCATTATGATACCTCCTCCCCTTGGAGGCAGCCCACCTGCCAGTGTGCATAAAAAAGCTCTTGGTGTGAGTGAGGGAAGGTGCTCACATGACCTGGGGTCCTCCCTGGGGTATAAAGGACTCTGTGTACATCCCTTCAAAGCCAGGCAGCATTTGATCATTCAACAGTCTTCAAGTGGGAGCTGCACTTCACGGTAGGTACTGCTTCTGATGGTATGAGGAGGCAGTAGAGAAAGGATGGGAGAGGACAGAGAGACGGAGGAAGAGGAGGAAGAAATGGATGGAGATAGAGGAGAAAGAGTGGGAGGGGGGAAAGAACAAAGGGGAAAGGAAAGAGAAGAGGAAGAGATGGAGGAGATGGAGGAGAAGTAGGTGGAGAAAAAGAAGAAGAAAGGAAGGAGGGTGGGAGAGAGGGAAGGAGGCATGGAGGGAGGGCGATGACGTTCTTAGGGCTGTTTGAATCCAGGGTTTTACTCCTGAATGTAGCCAGACATCCAAAGGTACTCTGCACCCTTATAGGAGAAGATGCAGTGTTAAGTGGTCAGCATCTGCTAAACTGTGCTAAGAACATCATCCTCTTCACCCCCCCCCCGCCACGTGCCACTTCAGCAAGGGTCCCACAAGCCTATGTGGGCTGACAATCTTGCCCAAGATACCTGAGGTGGAACTCTGATCATCACTGTGGACGGGGGGTCCTGAGCATGGAGTTCCTGACTTGCTCTTCTTCCTCCCAAACTCTCCTGTGTCATGTTCATGGTACCCTGATGAAAAACCACCATCATGTTCCTGTTTCTGCACAGAAAAATGAGTTCCATACAGCCTCATCACTAGCTCAAGGAGCCCAGCAGGCAACAGAGCTCAATTCCAGCTAATGGGCCTGGTTCCAAGACGCAGTCTAAATATTATGGGATTAGTTGTCAGGAGTAAGCCAGAATTCTACATGTGGCAAATGCACAGCTCAAAGCCTAGGGTGGCCTCCGAATCCCACCCCAGGCATGGGCAGGCCACCCTGAGGGGCCTTGTGATTGAGTTTTAACAGTAATGATGAGAGTCATGCTGTAGTTAGTAGGTTCCTTATTTTGGATCATGTGGCTGACCTGAGCGTTAATCTCCAAGAGGCAAAGACTTAGACTGGATGGCCTCGGTTTGAAGTCTGGTTCTGGTGTGGCTTTCCCTGTGTTTCTGCCTCTTTTAAAGACAATTTGGCAAGTTAAGACTTATTTAAGCCACAGCCTCACCTGGAAAGGGAAGCATGTGACTTTTTTTAAAGTCTTAAAGTGTTATTCCTAGACAGCGAGTGGTGCTTGTTCAGTGGGGCACCTGACACTGACCCAATAAATGCAAGGAATAAAATCCTCAAGTTTATAACATGGTTTAAAATCGTGTTAAGATGTACTTCACATTATATTTGCCGTTTTATTCATTTTCAGTGGACAGTTGCTGTGTGAAGTACGTTAACATTTTTGTAACATCCACTTCCAGAATATCTTTACCTTCCTTAACTGAAACTGTGCAAAACAAAAATCTCCCCATTCTCCTCCCTCTTAACTTATTAAAAAAAAAAAAAAAAAAAAACCTGTTGGCAGAATCAAGGCTATATCCAAGATCAAGTAGCTGTTGCTCATCTGTGTTTAGCAGCCCAGTGTAGACTGAAATACAGAACAGCTCACACCCCTGAGATGTAGATCAGAAGAGGAAAAAAGACTGACCTACTCCTTCATTCCTGAAAGAGAAGCTTCCTCACAAACAAGGGCTGGGGAACAGCATGAAGCCCCTTTCCTAGCTCAGACTATTGAGCCTTTAGCTGAGCTGTGGTTAGCTGCTGCAATTACAACTTCAGATAGCTATTAGCCTGGGAAGATCAACTCTTTCAGCCCTGCAAGAGCTCCCAAGCAGGGGCCTTTACTTCTAGCTGGAAGTCAGGTAACCTGGAAAAGGGGACATTCACCTGCCTAGTGCTCTGAAGATCTCATCTGTCAACTTGTATCCCATGCATATGCCTTCCAATTCAGATATTCTGGCTTTCCCTCATGGGTGTTGATAACAGTAACAATCAAATACAGTAAGTGCCAGGTGATGACTGAATTGGCCAAGGTCCTGTGGCCTCAGTCTTGTGAGTTTGACTTAAAAAGGGTTTCCCAGTCCCTCTGAAAGGCATAAGCTAAAGAAGGTTACAAGTAGAACATTATGCCCAAGGAGAATCAGACAGCAGCATTTACTAGTGTGTGCTAGCTGAGCAAGGATCTTCAAGAACTCATACCTTGCAGCCACTAGAGGCCACGCTGGGGACAACCTCATAGTATACTGATCCTACAGCCTACAAGGTATCCTAAACCTTCCTCCGTACTAAGCCAAGCTCATAGGCAACCATCAGGGTATTGAGGCACTGCCTTTCCCAATGGCAGAATCACATTGGAGAAAAGTGCTTCTTCCTTCAGGTTGACGTGACCCTGCAGTGGGCAGGTGGAGTCTAGTTCTGGTTGCTTTGGGACTTCTACATGGTCCCTTGGCCATGCCATGCACCTTTGTGCAGTATACAACATCTACAACCCTATACAGCTGTTCTGTGTGTGCCACTGGGATAGTCTGGATCTTGCTGCATTATCCATACATTGAAACCATGGTCTAAAGCAGACAATGCAGTCATCCAATCATTTATATTCTCAGGGAGAAAATTATTTTAAAATCCCTCTGATCTCTTCTCTCCCCTCACATTAACTATAGTTATTAAAGTGAAATGTTTGGTGATCTGAATATAAAGAAACTGCAATCAAAATGTGTCAGGGTGCCCGGGCTCTGATCACCTCATTCCTTTGTCCCCAGAACAGACCCTAAGGCATATCCGCTGACATCCTAGGACCACGACAAACCATTCCAAGCTCTCTGAAGCCGTGGAAGGGAACGAAGGCAGCAATGTGCCAGGGAAAGGATTATCCGTTAGGGGGCAGCACCACCATGTGGTCGCCAAATATATTTCTATCTTGAACGATGATAGTAGGTTCAAAGTCAGCTTGCTTGAAGGTGTTAGGATTGCTAGTGTATTGTGATGTGTGGGCAGGGTTTCCTCACTGCATTCCTAAATTCTGAATCCCTGCTCCCTCCCTCAATGCTGTACCCAAAGTAAATGCTTATGGAATAAATGAGGGAGGCCATGATACCACTGCCAGTCCCTCAAGGAATACACAGTTAAGTTTCCATTTTATAGGTAGACAAACTGAGTCTACCTGTAAAACTACTAGTTCATGTTGAAGCTGACAGAAGTCCTTTCAGAGTTTTGGTCTGTGGCACAAAGGAGGCACAAAGCCCTGAGTGGTTCTCGTGTGGGATTTCTGAAAACATCCTTGTCATATTGCACTGACTTCTCTCCCAGGGACCTGTTCCAGTCTGTGCCCACACTGTGTCCCTTGCTGTCCTACAATGATAGTACTTCTCATGGTCTGTATGCTGATGGTCCCTTGTGTTGGTGAGTAACATTATTTGGTACTACACTCTCAGTTTAGCATATAATTATGCATGAGCACTAGCAGGTATTGTCAACTTTCCTCTCACTTCCTCTTCATCCCTCTGCCCAATAAGTGATGGAAATCAAATATCAGTGTTGAGCTATAGATTTAATATAATTGTAATTGTTCAATTTAATGTAATTGAAAACCCTATCCAGGACATTCAGGATGGGAGGTGGAATGAAGAAAGAGGTGGCCCAGAAGCCAGGTGGCTGGCTAGCCAGCTTCCATCACCAGGAAGTGTGGCTCTGCTTCCCTTTGGCTGTTTCCCACCCCCATTTGCTAATCCCTTGAGGCATGTTGACCTTTCTGACATACAGCAGATCCCCCCCACCCGTGGGTACGTATAACACGTAGCATCATGGGCAACCAGTTCCATCTTTACATGCTGAGCCCCGCCACCACCCAAACCTAAGACGCACATACTCTTTGGTAACCATGGTGATGACTTCAAGTTCACTTGGAGCCAGAGCATCTGGCCTACTTCCTACTTGGATTGTTGTTCATTCAAGCATGCGAATCCTCTTCCTTCCTTCGTTGATCCCATCACTCATTGATCTGGCTCTTTTCTCCTTCTCATGTTCAGAGAAGCTCTCAACCCACACACTGCCTCTTAGAGGCTCTGCAGAGTCTCCTCCAAACAGCAGTGATGACAGCACCATTTGAGTGTGATTGTGTATCATGTGTGTTGTCCATGACCAAAGGCACCAGATGGAACAAGAGGTTTGCACCTGGCTCAGAACTTTATAAATTGAGAATAGCAATCTAACCATTTGAGAGAGGTTGCAGAGCCTCACCTACAGACCAAGACCCCCTTCCAAGTCCCACCCAGGGCTTCCCTCTGAGACAGAACTGGCCAGCTGCTTGTTCCCTGGCCTCCATCTTTCCTAAATGCTTTTCCCTGATTAAACACTTGTCATAATTTGAGTTCCCATTAGCAGGGCAGCTGGGGCTCATGTCAACTGTTCGACCCCTTCCTCGGACCTCAATTCAGTGGTCAAGCCCCAATGATGATCTGGGCTCTCCTTGTTTGCAGGAACAGAAAGTGAAATCCTGTACTCTGGTTTTTCCCTCTTTCTTATCTTTTCCTTTTAAATGGGGGTATTTCCCACCAAATCCTATTTTCCTCACTTACTTTTTAAAAATGTACTTTCTAGGGCTGGAGAGATGGCTCAACAGTTAGGAGAATTGACTGCTCTTGCAGAGGACCTGGGTATGGCTCCCAGCACCCACATGGCAGCTAACACTGTCCATAACTCCAGTTCCACCCTCTTCCAACCTCCGTGGGCATTGCACGACATGAATGCACTTACACACATATAGGTAATACACTCATACACATAAAATAAAAAATAAAAATACTTTTTTAAAAACTTATTTTCTTTAGTAAATAGCATTTTCTTTCAAAATAGTCAATTTTGTTTCCCTTCATATGTATAGATATACATATGTATGTAATTTCCTATAAAATTGTGACCAGTAAACATTCTCCTCTGTTCTTGCTTTTGTTGTCTTCTCTATTCATTGGCTGTTATATTTCAGTAACAAAATGATGTCCTTCATGTGAGGAATAGTTTGACAAACTTCTTATAAAAATCTTATTGAGCTTTTGTAATTTTATACTACAGTTCTTAATCAAATTTAGACCCCCTCCCGCATTCATGCCTCTCCATCCTCCCACTGGACCTCATGCATTCTGTCATACATGTTAAGTCCTATCTGGTCAAGCAGGACCCATGCCAACTCAGTTAAACAAGGGCCCAGATGGGAGGAGAGAAATAGGTGGCAGGCTGACCCTAGACAGAATTATTGGAGACTGGTTGCTCCTGAGAGAGGGAGAGCATGCCTTACATATGATCTCTAGATAGGCTGGCTAGAATTTGCACCGAGGGACATCTGGATACAAATGCTTGACTGGAAAGGACTTGAAAAACTTTTTTTATTATGCTCTGAGAGATTTTTTGCTCTCAAACACAAATACCTGTCTTTCAAAAAGTTACAGTCAAAGAAACTTATGTGCACATGCACATATTTGAGTATAGATTTGAAAGTGTTGTGCCATCAGACCCAGTTGTGCAGGATCTGGCCACCACTGAGAGTTACCCACCCATCCAACTCACCAATCCTAGAGTACAAAGGACTGTCCAGAGGTTTCTGCCCAGAGAAGTGGGAACAATGTGTTAGTCTATGCCTCCTGAGAAACAGGCCAAGGCCATATGGAGGGCACAAAAGTTTCATTAGAGGAAATATGAGAAGTGAAGTAAGAAAAAAAACAAGAAAGGCCAGCTTTTCAGCAGGGGAGAGTGGGAGAGCCAGCGCACACGGTCTGGGCTGCAGCTGGCCTGAAGACAATCTGGAGACCGTCCAGGAAGAGACACTTAAGGAGCCATGTGTCCCCAGGAATCTGGCCCATGGTGGTATATCTGCCTGCTCTGTCTTGGGCTAGAAGGAAAAACAGAGAGCGTGGAGATGCAGGAGATGAGGCCTCTCTGCAGATGCCACAAGAATGCAGTCACAGGGCCCACAGCCAGCTGCGTTTCTTTCTATACTCTGGGAGATGCCGTCATCCTACATCTGCCCGTCATCCTACATCTGCCCTGGGGTCATCTGAGTCAAATTTCAAAATGGTTCATGCATCATGTTAGCTTTTCATTGCTGGGGAAAAGCACCTGGGAAACCTTTCTGATGCCTGGTTTCAGAGGGCTCAGTCCATGCTTAGTTGGGCCCATCATTTTAGGCCTATGATAAGCAGAAGTATATGATAGAGGAAGCTGCTCACTGCACAGCAGCCAGGAAGCAGAGACAGAAGGGTCAGGGACCCAGTGTTCCCTTCCTGGGCATACCCCTAATAACCTACTTCCTTCATTCCTACACTCTTCCTCAAGTTTCTACCACATCTTAAGAGCACAGTTAGCTGAAGAACAAGTCTTCAGCTAGTGAGGCTTTGGGGAACAATCCAGATCCAAACAACATGTGTTGACAGCAAGAGACGTCTCAGTGAATAAGGAGGTCCCTCCTGCTATTTCCTTGACTATGTTTGCTCCCTCATGGCCCTCTTTTTCACTCTAGATGGCTCATAACCTTCAAGGATATGAGTGAGTGGTGGCTTGGCAGTCAGCACTGAGTTAAGAGAAAACTTACTGAGCCTTCCGCCTGGCCTTCCACTCAGGAGCTCTGCATGGAGTTTACTCCACTGCCCCATCCACGCTGGGTTCCCATTTCCATTAACCTCTGTGGGTGCTAATTTTCCATCACATCTGAGAAAGGTACTGAGCAGAAAGGTGAGCTCAGGGAATTCCTGCTTGACCTTTTGTGTAGAACACTTAATACTATAAATCCTACTCAAAATTTTTCCTACATCATTCCATTCCCTAGAAATCAACTAACTTTGCTTACAGTTCACTACATGAGGATCCTGTGATTCTGGTAGACCACCACTCATTGGCCATTTGATGATGGTGCTCAACTATTGTGTGTTCATTCATTTAACAAATAGCAAAGGGCCTGTATTCGCTTTTTCCTCTACATGACATCTATATATACATCTATTACATACATCATTGTACTTGCAATTGTAAGTCCCCATTATAAAGAGGAGCATCAACCACTGTGTCCACCTGGTCAGGAAGGGCTCCTTGAATTTCAAATAGAACTATAACATGTGAATAAAGCTCAGTAAGGCAAGGTCAGCAGGCCTAGAGGAGGCGCCCTAGGTCCAGGGCACAGCACAAACAAAGACAGGTGGCAGAGTGACCTTTGGTATCTTGGGCCAGAAGCTTCTCAGCACTGCAGGGATATAAAATACAAGGTAGGGGGTGGTGGGGCAGAGGCAGCTGGGACCAGATCAGGCAAAGCCTGACACAGTGCTATCTCCTTGCCCTCTCAGTTTCACTGTCTCTAAAGTGTTAATGATAACATCTGCCCCGCCACCCTGGGGCAGTTAGACAACATGATGCTGACAAACTATAGCACCAGCTCTGCTCCTGACAGGACCACCCCTGCCCAGCTCACCTGAATCAGAAGCAATAATTCTGTTCCACCTCTGATCTTGTACCCATGTCCTACCTCCCCATATGCCTGCCTCACCTCTGGCTGCAGTTGGTTCATGATCTAAATCAGTTTCTGGGACAAACAATTTAGAATCCAGAATGGCTTCTTAAGCCATTAATGCAATTGTGTGGGCATAAGTATCTGCAAGGTAAGCAGAGTGGGGAGAGCATGTACCTTACTGACCTGCATGAGCAATGAGCCACCTGCCACCCTACAGGAAGGAAGGCGACTTTCCTTTGCAGAGGACACAGGGAAGTCATTATCAAGGAGCATCAATATTTTACATTCCTGCTGAAGTAAGCAGCACGTTAGTCAATTGTGCCAAATGCAAAATATGCTGGGTGGCCTCCTGTGGTGGCACATGCCTTTAACGCCAGCACTTGGAAGGCAGAGGCAGGCAGCTCTCTCTGAAGCCAGCCTGATCTACATAGTGAGCTCCAGGCCAGCTAGGGCTACAGGAAGACCCTGCCTCTGAAAAAATATAGTGCTGAGTGATTGCAAAGGCTCTTGGACAAGGGCGGAAACAGAACTGAAGCCCTGACCACCTCTCCTGGCCAGAGGGTCTGTATTTTACAGGACACTGTCCCCTTAAAGCCCATCATTTCCAGGCAGGAAGGACTTTATTCTTCATGAGAACCACTGGAATGATTTGGAAGACAGAAGCTCTGCTGCTGTCTGAAGATCCCAAATAGATAGCTGACTCACAGCCCAGCTGCTCTGTGCCCTCCATGGGCCCTGCACTCACTCAAAGCAAAGTACCTTCCTTCACCCCCTAAACTGAAGGTACCTCACATGCCTATTTTCTTGAGATTATACAACGTATTGTTTTAAATTTGAACCAGTAGTTTAAAACTGGAAGATTTCATTATACAAACAGTTCCCACTGCAGCAAAATTTGAAAGATTCAAGTCTTGGTTCTCATTCTCCACAGCCTGGGGCTGAATCACAGTTGGCTCTCTCTCCGTGACCCACAACTCTTTACTTCTCCACAGTCCTCACTCTTCTCTAATGATGCCCAGCCCCAAGCTTGCTCCTCTCATTTCCTTCCCCACCTGGCCCTGGAAAGACATGTATTTACAGCTTTGGGTCACAGTGAGGGCCCCCATCTTCTCTGCCCTGGGTGAGTAGTTAGCACAGATCTGTTACGTTCTGGGCCTGCTACCTGTCTTCCTCCAAGTGTGTCTTCACAGTTTTCCCCATTCAGCCACCATGGATGTTCAGTGAGCACTAGGCCTTGGGACAGTGGCCATGAGGAGGCTCCTACCCCAAGAGGTCCACAGTTTCATAGGAAAGACAGATATGGAACAAGACCTTGAGACTCAGCATGGGAGGACTGTGGTAGACGCCACTAGAGGTAGGGCACGGAGGGCCAATGGAACAGAGATGGGCAAATAATCCAGAGTCCCCCAGGATCAGGGGACAAAGAAGTGCTGTCCAAACTGTGCCCATGTGATGAGCATGGTTAGCCAGGCTGAATCTGGGTCAAGGCTTTCTAACAGAGGCCTTGCCCTGTGCAAATGTCCAGGAGAATGGAAGGCAAATCTGCACAGTTAGAGTCTATAGCCAAAGGGTCCCAGCTGTACCAGCCTGGTGGTTCCCCAAATATAGCACAGAGTTTCCTCATTGCCCAGATCTTCTTCAGGCAACCCCCATGGACCCAGAGATGCTTACCTGATACAGATAAGCCATAATTGGTCCCTGTTTTTCTCTCAGCATGTGTCAGCAAAAGAACAGGCAGAAAACTGAGGATGCCTACCCTTTGCTCTGGCAAGGCCCAAGGGGACCCATTAGCTCCAGCTCCATCCTGACAACCAGGAGGTCTAAGAAGGCTGCATAGGGCACAGCAGATTTGGGATCTGGACCGGGTACTCTGTCAATTAGGCTTTTAGGAATAATCTAAAAGGAATAATCTTTATCAGAAAACAGTGGAAACAGCAGCTTTCAAATACTAGTCAAAGGGATAACAAGAGAGGAGGGCCATCTGGGCATAGTGGCGCACACCTCTAACTTCAGCTACTCAGAAGCCTAAATAGAAGGATTTCAAGCACAAAGCCAGTCTCAACAACCTTGAAATAACAGGGGGCTGAAGATGTAATTCAGGGGTACAGTACTTGCCTGGTATGTGTCGTGCCTTGAGTTTGATCCCCAGCACTGTAAGACAGAGATTAAGAGAGAGACAGAGAAACAGAGCCTTTCTCTTTTAGTTGGTGGTACTTTTGTATAACATACATACACCCTCAATGTATGTTGCACAACATACATACACCCCACTAACTGGGGTACTACTGGCATCCAGTAAGCAGAGGACTGGAATGCTGCTTATACATCCTACACGCACAAGGCAATGCTACGCCAACACTGAACACTTCCCAACCCTCAGTGCTAAGCAAGGAAGGCTGAGAAACCTTTTCCAAGCCTAAAATCAAGTCCAGGGCCATTCAGGGGCATCTTCCTGAACGGAAATCTTAAATATTTCTTCAAGGGTTGACTCATATGGCTTTCAGATGGATGAAGTTTCCGAACAGAGACAGACTAGTAGGCCTGACTGCATAGCTGTCAGCTTAATGAAGAAAGACAAAAACCTTTTGACAGAGGCTAGAGAGATGGTTCAGCGGTTAAGAGCATGTACTGCTCTTATAGGGGACCTGAGTTCATGTCCCGGTGCCCAAGTAGGGCAGCTCACAACTGCTTGCAACTCCAGTTCCAGGGGCTCTGATGCCTCTGGACTCCGTGGGCATTTCTACTCATGTGCACATACCTACACACAGATACCACACATACACATAATTAAAAAAATCCTGTGACAGATTTCAGATGACCCACGTGCTTTATATTATTGAAGCAAAGTTTGAACAGGAACCTTTTTATTCATTTATTTATTTTTATTATTCCAAAGAGAGGCAACTTTTGACAGATTTTTCCAGAAATAACTTGAAGCAAGTTACATAAAAAAAATATACAATCTGTTTAAGGTTGGGGGTGCGGATAGGAATAAGAAGCCAAAGACCAAAGGATTTGCCAATACGGGGTCAACTTTGGTGGAATAATAAAGGTTTCCATTAGCTCTGTTCTTATTTTTAGAAAATCTTAACAAGTTTATTAGGCTTGGTAACAGAGCATGGGGGTGGTAGTTATTTACAGAAGAGTGGGCACCCCCCATTTATGGCTGCACTGGAAAGTCCACACTCAAATATAGATCCTGTGGCTTCCTGACAGCTGCACAAAATGGTGAGAGAGGTGCCTCATGGCATTCTTAGCTTATATAGCCTTAGACCCTCCCCCACATGCAGCTAAGGCTGACTGATTGGGTGGGAGGGGTAACTGACTTCCCCCTCAATTCCTTAATGAGCGTGGGAAGAATGTATGACTATAGCTTGCCTGCATAGTGGTCAGAGGACACTTCCAGTTAACACTCCACCCCTTCCTCTGGCTCTTACATTCTTCCTGCCAACCTCTTCTGCAAAAGTCCTTGAGCCTTGGAGGGGGTGGTAGGTGTGGGATGATCTTCCTCCCATTGTGGCAAGACACTGAACTTTCAGGTCTCTGCATCGTCAGTTTCCATGGGCTGTTGGCCTATTTTAGTGGGGTTCCACCTACTATAAAAACACAAACAGCAAGAAGCAAGAACATGTAAAGAGTGGCTGCTATAATAACTTAACCTATGGGTGTAAACACAAATGCTTGGATCGTACTTTAGCAGGTGCATCACATCCACCTAACAAAACAATTGCAGTGGCTTCCCACTGGGGCCTATATCTTCCCCTGCCGTGGGGGTTTGGCCCGGTCTACAGTACCAGATGTGTGTTCCACTTCTAGGAGCAGGCATTATATCCAAACGAAAATTTGTTGGTTGTACATACACTAGATGTTCCACTATTGCACCAGCTGGAACATTTTGTTTAGCGTGAACACTTTTGAGGATAGGTCTGTAGACAATCACATTCCATCTGTTACCCCTGCTGACCCTGCTGACTCTGTGTGCCTGCCATGATGAAGGATTGCTGATGTGGTGACCACCCCATTCTCTCCAGGCAACCTGGTTCAAGGTGAGGCTTCTAGATCAGCTTCAAAATCAGCTGAAGAGTTTGTGAAAAAGGAGTGAATCCTCTAGACTGGTTGGATCAGACCTGAGTAAGAGCTCAGGGATCAAAATGTTTACTGAGCCTGTATCCCAGGTGATGTGCATTCTAATAGATAGGGAGCAACCCCTATCCTGTTACAAACTCTTTGAGAACTGAGGTTTCTTCCACTTCTTTCTGCTAGCGATTTCCCTCAGGAAGCCCTCACACAACTTGGTATCTAAATAACGCTGTATCTTTTCATATAATGACAGTTAACAGGTCTCTCTCTCTCTCTCTCTCTCTCTCTCTCTCTTTCTCCAAGTAGACTGCCAACCGTTAGATAACACCACAGCTAGCCCGACTACCCCTTTATCCCTTTATGTGCTGAGCTCTATGTAGATTGAGTACAGTGTAGGCAGGTGTTTGAAACACATTCATGGGATTAACTTTGGCACATCCTCATTGTCTCCCTGGCCGTCACCTCTCAGCCTTAGCCCACTGAGGTGTGGTGGAGTGTTAGTGCTAACTCTGTTCTATCTCTCTGACTTACTTACAGGAGGCCATGCTTTGGATACCCCACACCTTCCACAGGAGTTGCCTCCAGGACTGTCAAAAAATATCAGTAAGAATCTTTTGGACTTTCCCTGGAAGCCTGGCAGAAAATTATTTAGGATACTGGCAGAGAAAATAATCTTTTTGAACATAGCCTAGGGCCCTTACTGCTGTGGCACTTGAAAGTAGTGGTTCAGATGGTACCCAAAAGTATCTCTCCAGCCTCTCACTTGGTGTCTTGATGCTCCAGTGGTCTCTAATTTGAGACAGAGGCCAATGGAAATGAGAAATCAGAAAGGTAAGTAAATGGGTTGATTGTGAGGGTTAATGTGGGAACTCCCTCTCCTCTTCAAACCACAGTCTAAGCTTCCTGGTAGGAATGAGATGGATGACACGTTGTAGAGCTCTGGTTCAATGTTTGTTCCTTGGGGAAAGGACCTGGTGATGGATTATAAAGATTTGTGAGGTGGGTCTCTATATGGACATGGCTAGAAAACATAATGCAGAGAGACCCAGCTAGTTTTGCCTTCCTGGATGTAGAGCTCATTTCCAAGCCTTCAGAGAAGGGAATTGAGGGTTAGAGCTCAGTGGTAGAGTGTTTGCCTAGTGTGGGCAAAGTCATGGGTTCAATCCATTCAGAGAGAGGCTTAGGGTGGAAGCTGAGTCAACCAAGTCATTTCTCCCTGAGTGATAAGTCCTGAAGTCGTCTGTCAACAAGTGACATGCTCCTGTAGGAAGTGCAATACCTACCAAATGTTTTAGAGTAGATATTTTGATTTGTACACTGCACCAGGCATAGCATGATCAAGGCTAGCAAGCACAGCTCACCAGCAGGGCACATTAGCCACACCTCTCCAGCAGGATAAGCCTTTGTGTAGTCTACACAGCAGTTAAGGGTACTATGAGTATCAGTTCAAAGATAGGGGGATTGGGGCTTACTTGGAGCAGCCACATAGCCACAAACCAAGCCTGGACCAGAGGCTGCATTCTCTGTAGGAGTTAGTATGTCTAGTTAAGAATTCATACACATAGTGGGATGTATGCAGTTATTACAGTAATAGTGACCCACGATGATGACTTCTTACCATGCGTTGACCCTCGATAGCTCTTCCTAGTTCAGATACACATTGCCACCCAGGGGTCATTCTTTTTCCTTTTAAATCATCAAGCAATGTTGCCTAGGATCATTATTCACATTTCCTCTTTATGGAGTTTCCATGGCAACCCGGGTTAGAATAAAATTAACTTCAGGTCAAATTTGTCCTTAGTAAAGAAGAAAAGGTATGACCTCTCTGAATAGGGAGTAGGGAAAAAGGACCAAATCAAGACTTTTATAATTCATTTTCTCTTTCTCTGACTTAGATATCACATTCTTCAATGGAGTGTTTAAAAATGTGGAAAGTGTGGCTGAAATTTTTGGTAAGTGAAATCTGAAATTGCTTTTATTCCACCAAGTGTCGTGGGTAGAATAGGTGTAGGAATTCTGAGGAAGATCTCTAGGGCCTTGCTTCCTGCCTTTGCGCTTGCTCGCCCAACTCCCAGCCAACTGCCAATAGTGTAACTGGGTTCCTGTGAGGGCAGCCATGCTGTGTAGGGCAACTCACAAAGTGCCTTCATCTTCTTTACTTTTCCTTATCCTGACTACAAATTTACTAGGAAAGGAAGGACATCCCCATTGTACCAATAAGGACACTGAACCTAAAAGAGTTAAGAAGCTTGTTCAAGATTGCAGGGCTAGAAGGGAGACATTCTGTGGGCCCAGAGTTTATACCCCTATGCTAATGTGGTTTGATTTTCTCTGGCCAACTAGCAAATCTATGTGAATGTGAAGAGTTTCAAAGGTTGTCAAGCATTCCATGTACGAGTTACACATCAGTTATATAGCAACTGGGTCACCATGAATGTTACTACCATCAACTTTGAACTCCACTGTGATTGGCCTGGACAGAGACACTGCCACCTGCTTTTGGCTTTAGAAGAGGCTGGGCCTGATGCCCATGGCTAAATGAAGGTGCCCTGGAGGTCACTGAATGAAAATACATGTCTATGTAAGCATGTACATCCTTGCAAACTTTAGAAAGGTTTTTTTCCCACTAGCATTGAATCAGTCTTCACTTTTCTGGTGAGACGTCATGGAACAATATGAGAAGGGAAGTCTGAACGAGGTGAGAAGAAACTAGAATAGACAAATGGATCCAGTGCTCACAGACCACACCTCATTCCCCTAATTCCTCCTGTGACTCTGTGCACTAACAAGCAGAGTGGGGTCACCTCCTTCAGCATGGAATGGTCCTTGTGACCGCCGGGGACAGCCACAGGACCAGAATGGATTACCACAAAGTAATCATAAACCGGGGACCCAGCGCTTTCATGCACACAGCACCAGCAGCTCTGCTTTTATTATCATCCTTGTGAGAACCGTAGTCACATATTTACAGAACTGAACGATAATAAGATGGCTTCTCACACTCATGAGAACCACAGTCAAATGTTTGCAGAATACTGAATAACAATAATATATGACTTGAATATAACAATTCAGCAAAATAAGATGAGCACAGCAGCATTATGTCCAGGCTATGTGTATTTAGGAGGTCAACATGTTCCATAAGAAACTAGAGGGGAAAACCGGCACTCTGGAGATCTCTCCCCAGCAAGCATTCTTGCATAAACTTTCTCATGAGACATAAAGCTCTCTAGACATACATGCTCAAAGTTTAGCTTAATTCATCAAGCATATTTGTAAAGCCATAGGAACACTATTTCCTAGTCCTTTTCAGATTCTCTCCCCAGAAAGGCAGAGGATGAGGATGCTGAGCCTGGCGTCTGAAGTAGAAACAAGCAGTACTCTCTCCTTGCCGTGTCGTTTGCTATATGCTTTAAGGTGGATCATTATTCTTGATTGGTCCCTTGGGCATGTCTTCAACCTTTTGTGTCTTTGCCTGTGAAGTGGGGGCAGAATAGTACCCACCAGGTAGGGTTCATGTGAAGCTGGTAACATAACAGATAAATGTAATACATCATGTAGTCAATCAATTTGAACTATTGTGCTAAAACTATCTAGTGCAGCTTCTGATACACAGTAGGTGTTCAAATACTATGTATTTATCTGCATTTCCTTCCTACACTGTCTTATAATTTTATAGTGTCATGCCCATGCACCTACAGAGTCATTCAGCAAACTTGTAAATCCACAGCGAATAAAGATGTTGCATTATCTCATACCGAAGACGGTCTGAAGATACCAGGATAGGTGTAGCCTCTCCACACAGGTAGCAGAGCCCCAGGCTTGCTCTGTCTTATTCCACTGCTGTCCTCACTGACATAATGGTTTTCAGTGTTAGGTGTGGGGCTTTACAGTTGCAATGCCGTTGCTACAGTTCTAGACAGCATATCCACATACAAGGAAGGAGAAAGATGTAGTTCAAAAGGAACTTCTTTTCTGTTTCTCTTTTCTTTTTCTTCATGTGCATGTGTGTGTGTGTGTGTGTTGTGCATACATGTATGCATACATATTGGCATGTGTGTGGATGCCCATGTGCATTTGGGTGCACTTGTGTGGATGTGTCTGTGGATGTCTGAAATCTTCTTCAATTGCTCTCAACTTTATTTGAGGCAGGATCTCCCAGTTAAACCCAGAGTTCAGCAATAGGGCCAGTCTCGCTAGTCAGCTTGCTCTGGGGATCTCCTGTTTCTATTTCTGAAACTGGAATTACAGGGGTTGCCATGCCCAACTGGCATTTCTGTAGATTCTGAGGATCAGAAGTCCCATCCTCTTACTTGCCCAGCAAACACTTTAAAAACTGAGCCATCGCCCCAGCTCTGTAGGGTCTTATTACATGCCTTTGCTGCCTTATTAGGAAAAAATATTTTCAGAAGCCTTTAGCAGACTTTCTCCTAAGTCTTTCAGCCAGACCTGGGTTCTGTGCTCTGCCACAGCCCAGTTATTTGCATAGAAACATGGAATTACCATGACCAACTGAGAATTGCTGTGGAATATCCTCGGAAATGTGGGGAACAGGCTCACCTTCCCTGAGAACTTTTCAGTTTTATGAGTAAGGAAGAAGTAAATATCTATTAGGTGGGTGTAATCAATGACACTGGCTATGCACCTGTTTCCTTTTGATTGACAACAGTCCAAGTACACAGTAAGTAGGTGCTGACTACGATGATGACGTCCCACCAACCAGGGATGTAGGAAGTTCAGGGACCAGAGCGCCTCCTGGTCTCAGCTTCCCAGTGCCCACCAGCCTTTTCTCTCTGTCCACCCATACAGACTGCCTGGGCTCCCACTTTACCTGGCTTCAGGCTGTCTTCACCAATTTCCCTCTCCTTCTCCAATTTGTGAATGGGATGAAGTGTGTGGCTGGTCTCTGCCCCCGGGACTTTGAAGACTACGGCTGTGCCTGCAGGTTTGAGATGGAAGGGCTGCCTGTGGATGAGTCTGACAGGTGAGTAGGAACCTCAGGTGAGTTCATGGCAGCCAAGTGACACCTTGGACAGAACAAATATGGACAATGAGCTGGAGTAGAGGCTCAGAAAAGATCTAGTTCTGCTACCTTCTGGAGGGTAACTGGCATGCCTCTTCACAGCGCAGTGATCAGCTCTTGCTGTAGGCCATTACCAAGAGCCTCATGGCCACTATGCAAAGCCACACTGCAGGGCTGCTCCAAGTTTAGGGCCCCTTGCATCAAAATCACCTAGCTTCTTGTCACAATGCAGATTCCTGAGACCCAATGCAGACCTATTGTGTCAGGATGCCTTTAAGTGGAGTCTGGAAACCTGGGTTTTAAACAAGCTACCCATGTAAGTTTTCTGCATAAATATAACTTGAAGATTATGTTTTACTCAGAGAAGTTCTATTCACCAAAGGAAAAGTAACTATGAAGGTTTTCATTCAAACTTCAACAAACATAAACCAAAGGACAATCCATGTGTACTGTCCTTAAGATAATCAGAACATTATCCATGCCTTAAAGATTTAAATACCTAAAGGAAGGATTCATTCATTCATCACTAGTAAGAACTATAAGAAAATATAAGTGACTACTAAAGATGGACTCCATCCCTGTGGACAGGGGAATGCACACTGAAACCAACAACCAAGATTGACAATAACATTTGAAGCCTAATAGCAAACCTAGCAAGGATTTGGCCAACAGGTATGGGGATAGGAGATCAACTGGGCTATTGGCCAATTTGGAAACTTTGTTGCTATGTGTGCAAAGTTTAAGGCATATTACCTAGAAGGCAGTGATTCCCTTTCTTGGCTCCTACTTGGCTGTCTAAGTTACTTGTCTTTGTTCCCCCTTCTTTACCTTTAAAATATTCCGAATAGTAATACCTACTTCACAGAGTCACTGTTTAGGATTAAATGACTCAATTTAAGTTGAAGGCACTGCAACTAAGCCTGGTTCTAAAGTATCCCAGCGTATCAGCCACCACAGAAGCAGGCCTGGGGCAGCGGCTGTGGGGGTGAGTAGCATCTTAACCAGGTAGCTGCAGGAGAATCAATCTGACAGCAGCAGCTACGGCAAAGCAAGGGCAGTCCTACTGCAGCAGAAATAACGGTGGCTGTGCCCACAGCAGTAGCAGAGAGACAGAAGCCAAATGGAAACAGGAAGTTGAAGCCGATCTCAACTCTGCTCCGTGATGGGCGCCCCACGCTACTAGCATTACCCTTGGCCCTAAATCCAGTGCATGTGTTTTCACCCATTCCTTGTCAGGGAAGACAAAAAGGGAATCTTCATATTAGGCAGCCCATACCTGCCCTGGCAATTCTTCTTAAGGACATCCTCTTTGGTTGCCTTGACTCCCATGGACCACGGCAATCCCTCTATAAACCTCTGGACTTCTCTTGTACCTGATACCCAGGTGAGAGTGAGTGCACAGGATCTATCGCCAATCCACTCAGTCTCCTGTAAGGAGAGAGTGCCCTGTACCCTTTCTCTGCACTCCCAGAACTAACTACAGCACTGACTGAATAGGTGATCAACCTCCAACTCCTTTTCAGAGATTAAAAATAAACTAATTGAAAAGTGATACATTCTTGGTTGACAAAGAATAATGACCTTGCAGTTAAGCAGTAAATCATTCCTACCTCCAAACTGCAGGAGAGGATACAAGCTGCCTTTGGAGCAAAGGGGAGTGTTTTCTATTTTAGGGATCAGGGACACAGGGGTGGGAATGGGCTGGTTTTACAGGGTATATGAGACTAAGGTCACTTCTGGAAACGTTCTTTCCTTTCAGGTCCTCTATTACTGCTTCCTTTAATACTTCTAACAGCCAAGAGGCCTAGAAGTCAAAGAAAGGAAGGATTCATTCATTCATCACTGTCTCCTACCCTGAAGGAATAATCAAATACCAGCATCTTCACTCTGGTAGAATGGTGGGCGGGGCACAACTCCAGTTACTGCATACATTTTAATCAATGGGCGTGTGGATTTCCAAAACTTCTGTAGGACAGATTGTTTCTACCTTGAACTTGCACAGTAGATTCCCCAAAATAATTCTAGTGTTTATTGAGTACCTATTAGGAGGTGAGGTCTAGACAGGAATTTCCTTCCTTCTTTCCTTCCTTCCTTCCTTCCTTCCTCCCTCCCTCCCTCCCTTCCTTCCTCCCTCCCTTCTGTCCTTCCTTCCTTCCTTTCT